CCACCCACCCATGCTCTTACCTTAGCCGTTCGTTTCAACACGCCTGGCACGCCTGGCACGCCGCCGGGCCTGTCTGGCTGCATTTGCATTTGGCAAGGGTAACAATTTATTTCTTTTTTGCGCTGGCCATTATTTTTAAAAGAAGTCTGCCGGAACATGCCCTGCCTTGCCTACCTTACCAACACGTACGTACGTGCGTGACTCTCACTGACTGACTGACTGAGTGACCGACCGACCGACTTCATCAAATCCTCCGTCACAGCGTCATCTCTCTCCTTCGACATAATCCGTACTTACTTCATACAAGACCCTCGACCCGCCTCCTGCGCGCCCTCCTGAGGTGTGTTCTGCCAGGATCCCATCCACCCACCATCCACCGTCCACCATCATCTATCATCGACCTCACCACCGGCAAGGTACGTATTGTATTCTGAGTACTCGCTTTTCTTTCTGGCAGCAAAAGATCTCCGTAAAGGGATCGGGACATGTGTTTGCGGCAAGTGGCTCGAGCAGACTTGCTTGGACTTGATCCTGAGCTTGAGCTTTGAGCCGGACTTGTGTGGCCTCGCGTCCGTTGTCATGTCTCCTCTTGTCTTGTCTTGGTCTTGTCTAGCTGCAGCTCTCCGCTACCTTCTCCCTTCTCGGAGTGACTGGCTGGTAAAGCTGGTATCTTCGTTGTTTGTTTGCTTGCTTGCTTCCACGCATGCATGCACAGGTACCTAGCTGCTATTGCTGGCTACCAGGCATCAGGTATTTGCTGCTGCTACGTACATGTACCAAACAAGACTGCACTTCCTTTTTTGACTTTTTGGAAGGGGGGGCTGTGGTCACTTGTTCGGTCCATCTACCCTCCCGGCCGACAATTTTTTGGTTTTCAACACCCTCGTTTTCGAGGCCACCTCAAGTATCCCTCTACCCCCATTTCTCCGGATCGCATTCCTCTTTCCCCGTGTCACACTTCGAGGGAGCTTGCGTCCATTCCAACCCAACAACCTCCACCCCATCACCGTCCTCCCCACTGCTCTGTCACTGCCAGCCACTTTACCAGGCCGCATCGTCCGTCCATCTGCAGTCTCTTCTCCGTTTGTCTGATCACGGACAGCAATAGTCTAATCATATCTGCACCTAGACTCGTCGCCTTCGAAATCCTCGACTACCTCCTGCAGACTCTGCGGTCTTCCCTGGAAGCCACGTCGCGCGATCCATCATCCTACCGCTGCTTGCGAGCCCTTGAACGACGAGAGAGTTGCGCTGCTCCGGAACTCGTTGCTTCTACATATCGCGACGGCTGTGCCAGCTTAGGTTGGTACAGTTGAGCTCTCACAGGCAACCTGTTTTCGCGACACTCCCTTGAGATAGGCGAACATCGTATCCCGTCTACTGTGCAGCTGTGAAGCTGGCCGAGATTTCCTCGTTGGTCAATACCATCGATAGATGGGCAAGTGACCATTCCGGCGCGCACCAGTCCTTCAAGGCTCTCATCCTGATTTGCCGCAAAACGTGCTGGCACATCGCGACGCAAAGTATTGCCCTCAAGGGCAGATACATCAGTCACATCAATCCTACAGGGAGCCTCTGTATTTGGCCAGTCATCTACCTCTGGATTGTTGTCTGATCCTCTGGGTTCCTTCCTCGTAAGACTCGTTGCCACATTGGGTAGTGTCAAAAAAATTATCTTTGACAGCACTCGCGTCATCATCGGCAGCAAGTCGTTTGTATCTGCAAAAAGCACATAGACGCCCAAGGCTGCTTTGTCGAGTTTTCAAGCTTTATCGACCGAGTGCACGCTGGTGGCTCCATCACATCGGAGGTCGGATAGCTCACCTGAACCGTGCACGAGATACCCTCACAGCTCAAGCCGCACAGCTCGCTGAGAACCCATCTGAGATTTCGGCCTTTCTTCAGGCAGGTATCTAGGCAACAACAGTTTTTGTCAAATCGACAGAATTACACGTCAAGTTTCACTTTTCGCAGTCTTTGTAAATACAGGTTAGTCGACACCTCTCACCTTAGCACTTTTGACAACTCATCCAATGTCCACACTGCACATATCATTTGTCAAAGCTGCATCTCTAATTTACTCCATCACTGGTTCGTTCTGGTGGCCCCTTCTCACTTGGCTGAACTGAGTCAACGCTGTTTTTGCTTTTCTGTCGCGAAAATCGTCGTTCTCTGCCTATCACTCTCACCGCTTTGCCACCTCGATTCAGCTCTACTGACACCCTTTCTTTACAGCCCAAGCATCCCGGCAATCAGCTTCCTAGTAGACTTGTCATCACCCCTTCCCGAGACACAAGTCGTTGTGAGACAGCTGCTTTCCTCTCGTGGGGCATTCATTTCCTAGCGAACAGGTGATCCAAGCGTCGGGCCACCCCCCTCAGCTCTCCTTTGTCCCCATTTTCCTTCATCATGAAGTCTCCAGCTCCTGGTGAAGTTATGGGTATTGGCAACATGCTGAATCAGAAAGGCGGCTCAGCGGTACCGGGCCAGCCTCAGGGCGCAATTCCTGATCACAACTCTATCCCACAACTCCCTCAAATCCCTCTTGAGCGGGCTGATTCTCCCCACGGATCAGAACATTCCAGATACTCTGCCACAGCCATGAACGGCCTGGGAAACGGCAGACCATACGGCTCGCCCAGCGCGATGCACGCTCCTCTCCATATGCCTGAGCCTAACATGGCTCCTGCTCCGATGGTCCACGGTCTTCCTGGCATGACACCAGAGATGGCCCACGCTTTTCAGCAGGGACCGTATAAGCCTGCTGATGCTCCGCAGCCGCCGCCAAAGGCATATCCCTGCAGCACTTGCGGAAAGGGCTTTGCAAGGCGAAGCGATCTGGCCAGACACGGTTTGTTTAACTTCACTCGCTTGTAGAGAGCGACTTCGTACTGACGAGGAAAATAGAGCGAATTCACACCGGCGTCCGTCCTCACGTCTGCGATTTTCCCAATTGCGGAAAGCAGTTCATCCAGCGTTCAGCACTGACTGTGCACCAACGTGTCCACACCGGCGAGAAGCCGCATATGTGCGAGAGATGTGGCAAGGTAAGTCACGACTATCTCGAAAACTGGGTGTACAAGTGTATCGCTGACTATTTGTTCTATAGCCTTTCAGTGACTCCAGCTCTTTGGCTCGTCATCGTCGTATTCACTCCGGAAAGCGACCCTACAAGTGCCCCTACGCAGACTGTCAGAAAACTTTCACCAGACGGACGACTCTTACGCGCCACCAGAACCACCATACCGGCACCGTTGAAGATGCTGCGAGAGCAACAGCAGAGCTCCTAGCTAAGGGCATAGGCAGCATTGCTCGAGCAGCGTCTGCCAGACCAACGGGACCCAATGGTGAACAGCTCTCTGCTCACGAGTCTCCCATCTCAACCCCGTCGCCTGCACAGCGTACTATGTCCATGTCACCGAGTGCAGATATGTCAGTCAACAATGGCCTGCAGCACCAGTACTTGACCAACAGCTCCCTGCCAGTCCATCTTCGAAACGACTTGCATGTTGGTAGCCCTGCGTCGACAACTTCATCGGGCTATAACACCGGGATTCGACCGACATCTCACCCCACTGGTTACGGCCCACCGCCAACTCTTGAGCCGAGCATCGAGCACCAGCAGGGCCCAGGAAGTGCGGGTGGAAGCCCACATATGTCAAGTGTTGGCTGGGCATCACCATCTCATGTCCAATCACCTTCACACAGCAGCAACGGCAACAGCTACGTGTACCCAGACCCAGAGGGTTATCCGGCGTCCACAAATAACATGGCCGGTCAGATGTTCTACAACAATGGCGGCGTCGGAGGTAGGAGACCCGGCAGTGATGAGCCTGGCTCATCGTATGAAGTCAAGTCACGGACAAGCGAGCTCTGGGCGGGGGCTCAGTAATCATCGCAGATTACAACTTGATTGATTGGCTTTGCCATTGTATCAGATACGCGAGGCGCACCTGAATCTGAGCTGTGCATAATTTGTTTGCGAACAATGCGGCGAAGATTGCTCAGGTGTCCGCCGTCTGTCATTCCTGATTATTATTTCCTTTTTTCTTGGCATTCATCGGAAACTTCCCAGCCTGGAATGTCCCAGGCTTTTCTACGTCGATCATACTCATCGATCGCGAAGGACGTAATTTGAGAACGGAGACCGGTGAGGCTGGCTCATCGGAACTATACCCCAATCAAAGCTTCACTCTCCAGGCATCTTCCGAAAAGGCAATGTTCCAGGCGCGGAGGTGCGGAAACAGACATCACGGGAGGCTCATGACCACTCCCTCCCAACTTGCATGATATATGGAACCAACAGGATCCAGTGTTTTATAATAAAGACGGCCAGGGCCGGCGAGGACTTCGTTATAATGATACCGGCAAAGATCGGGCGGCACAACTCTTCACTTCCTCATTCCAGGCCTCCTCTTCCCCTCAAATGTTTTCCTTTGTTATCTTAGATTGGCAGCCGGAAATAGCTTTGCATCATGAAACGCGCACGAGGTGGTGTGTCACGGCGGACGAATGGTGCGGTGTTCAGGGCTTGCTTTTTCTCTTCAGAGTAGGCAAAAAACGGCAAAATTTCTGACGGACAATTGTGTAGACATACGGTAGCTCCAACGAGCAAAAAGAAAAAGAGATTGCGATCTATTTAGATTACTATTCATGCCGTGTGGTGCTCTTTGCTTGCCTTGTTGACCAGTGACCTTTGCCCAGAGTGACCCCCAAGAAGGCACCTTGAGCCTTCTTTCCCATTCGCTACGAGACACATGTCAACATGAATTAAGAAATCCTACAGAATCCTTTGAACCCAGTCCTAGTCCTCTTCGTCTGCTCGTTTACGTTTGTGGCAAGCCGTATCTACTATGTAGTGCCGGCTTTTTGTCTCGGATGGCGTTTGTGTGGTCTCATTTACCATGATTGCAAGCTGCTTCTGGTTATGGTTTGCACACCATGATTATCTTGCTGTTCATACTTGTGACAACTCTTTGTTTTGTAGCCAGTCATTGTATATGTTCTCCAGTATGTTATTCGTGGTGCTGATTTGTTTGATCTCCCTTGACAGTAAAAAATCGCTGTGTTGGGAATGTCGTCAAAGAACCTTCTCTCACACGTTCTCTAACAACACTGTGCTGCCAAGAACATGAATTCCCCTTCCTAGAAAAGAATGAAAACGGGATGACAGTGAGCAGCAATTCATTTTGTAAATATGGGCATCTTTTTGCGTGGCCGAGGCTCTGCTGGCTCCTACAGCGCGAAGAACGCAGCGGTGGATTTTCTGATTACTGAACGGAATCTCAGCTTCGCGGCGACACACCGAACGGGCTCTGCGGCGAATGGAAGCATGATTTCTCATTGCTTCCTCACGTTAGATGACCCTGGAATTTTGTTCGTCCATCAGAGTGGTTATAATAACCTATTGCTGTTCTGCCGGCCTCGTCGTGGTGATCGTTGTGCGTGCCAGGGGATACAACATCATCGGCCTCACACAACATCGACCCAACACAGCGCTGCAAGTGAGGCTGACTTTCGGCGATAAAGCCAATTAATAATACGGTACAGCTGTTTCAGAGAGCCCCAGCATTAGAACTATCACGATTATTTTGAAAGGGGAGCATCCCGACGCTTGATACAGAGCAAGGAGAGGACACATCGAACAAGACCAGAGCTGCGTAGGGACGGATTATTCGAGATGACTCGTTTCCAGATCCAGCTCATCTCGGACCTGAATTGCCCCTGGTGTTACTTGGGCAAGAAGAGCCTCGACCGCGCGATCGAGACGTACAAGGACCAACACCCTGACGCCGAGTTCGACATTATCTGGCGCCCTTACTACTTGTATCCAGACGCCAAACCGTCAGGTGAGTTCTTGCACGCTGGGGGAGACAATGAAGTTTTGCAATGACTATCCTTCTATATGCACTTCTGCCTTTTACATGTTGTTCGCCATATCCCTGGCTGGCATATGTCAACCCCTGCTCCCATCCCTCCCCACTTCCACAGGGGCTACTAGCACCTCCACGCCCACCCCCCTTACCAGATATCAGAACAAGCTGACCAGACCACGCCCGGACACAGGCTACACCAAGAAGGAGTACTTCGCCGCAAAGTTCGGCCCCGCCGGGCTGCCGGGGTTCTTCTCGCGGGTGGAGGCGGGCGGGCGGGCGCTGGGCATCGACTTCGACTTTGCGGGGCGCACGGGGACGACGCGCGACAGCCACAAGCTGCTGCTGCTGGCGCAGCGGCGCGGGTCGCCCGGGGTGGTGGCGCGGCTGCAGGACGCGCTGTTCGGCGGCCAGTTCGAGGGCGCCGGCCGCGACATCTCGGACCGCGCGTTCCTGGCGCAGGCGGCCGTCGCGTCCGGGCTGGCGCGCTCCGAGGAGGAGGCCTGGCGGTGCCTCGACAGCGAGGGCGCGGGCCGCGAGGCGGACGGGTCCGATCGCGAGGCCAAGCGCATGGGCGTCACGGCCGTGCCCAGCTATCTCGTCCAGGGACGGTATCGCGTCGGCGGCTTCCAGGAGCCCGAGTTTCTCGTCGGCTTGTTTGAGAAGATTGGCGCAGCAGAGAGCAGCCCAAGGTCTGAGTAGGGGGCTATACGGCGACATCTGTCCGCAGGGACTGACTGCTCGAGATGCTTTGCGATTGATGTGTTGACCATGCTTTGCTGGCGGGATCTGTTTTGCTTCAAGGATTTGATTTCGTCTGTTTGTAGGTGCAATAGGCCATCAAGGGAGTTGGGTATGACGACTAGACACAAGTCAAAGGCTGGAAATTTGGACATGTTATCCAACCATACGTATTCTGCTTCTGGATTAATGCGACAATTTCATCACGAGCGTTATCACATCCTCTTTCATAGAGAAACATCTCTCTATTATCAGGCTATCGACGAAAAATGAATGTTGCCTGGTCTTGCTCAATGCCTTTGTGAGCCCCTTGCCTCATTTGCTGGGCCCCTTCACTTTTACCAGTGAATCCTGTGTCTGGACGGTCCCTCTCTGACTGTAAAAACCCTGAACTCCGTAGCAATGCACTTAAAAATCCAACGCTCTCTTAGTAGACACGCAAACACACCACAAGCGAGATCATTTGTGATTCGCAAAGTCCTTGAGGAGGTGCTCCATGTGGGTGTTGGTCGTCTTCCCGCTGCGGCGCACGGCGCGCTTCTTCTTCTTCTCCACCTTGGGGGCAGCAATCTTCTTGAGGCGCGGGTCTTCGCTCGTGGGCTTCTGCCCAACCTGGCTGAGACGGCGGACGATGTCGTCGAGGCTCGGCACCTCCACCTTGTGCCACATGTTCTGGAACTCCGGGTCGACGGGGTGCCAGAGCGAGGCGTCGTCAATCCACACCATGCGGGGGTGGTTGTCCTTCTTCGTCCGTACCACCAGGATCTTGTGCTCGCGCTCTAGCTCGCCTATGGCGTCCTCGCAGCTCGGCCAGCCGTCCTTGAGGTCCTTGACGGCCACGCCGTTGGCGTCCTTCTTCTTTTGCAAGAAGCCCAGCAGCTGGACCTTGTTCTTGACGTTGGGGATGATAGGCCGATGGACATAAGTGCCCGACTTCCAGGTCTGCTCGCTAAGCTTGGGGTCGGGGACCCACTGGATGCGCGGGTTGTTGCGCAGGCGGTCGACGAGGGCCATGTGGTAGGCCTCCTCGCGGCGCGAGACGCTCAGGTTGTCGACGATCTCGGCCAGCGTCAGGGGGCGGTCCTTCTCCTTGAGGTTCTGCACGGCGTACAGCATGTTGGTGCCCAGCTCCGTGCCCACGCCCGTGTTCTCCGGCTGCGAGTAGATGGTCGCGCCATCGGGCCGCTTGCTCTTGTTGTTCTTGGTCGGCGTGCTGCCCGAGGCGCCGGGAGCTGCAGACGTCGTCGATGCGACGGAGGGAGATGGCGAGGGAGGCGCGAGAGGTCGCTTTGCGCCGCCGGAGATCTTGGATGCGGCCGAGGCGAGAGAGCCGCTGAAGGCGGCCTGCTGCCGCTCGAGGAAGGACGACATCGTGAGAGTATGTATGTGTGTGGACAGAGGGAAGAAGCGGACCGACGCGAAACCTCTGCAATCAAAAAAATGATGCAGTCAGGATTGCGGTACAATCCTGCGCAGGTTGTGGTCTTACCAGCCTGAGGGAGAGGAGACTGGCGGCTGGTTGATGGTGTGACAAGACAAAGGTGATGGGTTGAGGTTGGATGAGACTAAAGTGGTGGTCGAGAGCCGCTATGGCCCTGGCTACCTTTCAAGGTTCCAAGGTGCCTCAGGGTGCCCACAGTTACTGTGCGATAAGGAATGGATATTTGAGATAAGCAGTTTTGGTGGGTCTATGTACACTGTCGGGCGGTCCGCCATGAACCACCAAACTCCCACCAGGACATCCTCAAGGTACTGCAATCCAGGTTCACCATCTCCTCTCCATGTCGCAAATTCTCATTGCTAGGCCTAGTGCGAGGCTTGCAGCAATGTACCGTTTTCCTTCTCCTCTAGACAACCTCTGATGCAGGCTGTACCTTAGTACTCATATTGATCATATCATCATTAGGGAGCCGTCGACTTTGGATTTAGGGTCCTTGATTGAGTACTGTCAACGTTTAGAAGTGTGTGACTGGCTCGACAAAGAATTATGCTGTTGGTCGCCTGACAACCAAATCTGCACCTTAGGTATCCAAGCCGTAAGCCGAAAGCCAGCTCCTGATATGAAGAGCCAGCCTTGCCCAACATCTTCGCCATTATTCATAACTTCTGCAATCTATGTAGCCTCAGTTAATCACACTCAGCCAGTTCACTTTCTGCTATGAGCCAACAACTCTTGGAGCCGTCCGCTCGCGTTTCCCTTCTCCCTCGCCAAGGTGTTCACGGATACCTCAGCGACCTGCCCCATCCAGTCGAATGCCTCCACCGCAGCCTCAGACAGCATTCATATCCATGGGTTCCCCTCCCGAAGCTGTTCTTGTTTTCAATCATGCCTCAGAAGCGGAGCAGTTCCGCCAACAATGTCGCTATAGTCAAATTCAACGGTCCTTTCCTTGCTGGGTTTACGTAACGCTTCCACCCAACCTCTGAGCTTCGCACCCTGTCTCGGTCGACATGTAGGGTCTATATATGTCAAATTTGTCTTCTCGGATAAGGACTCAGCTGATACTTTTTATGAACGCATCAGCTATTGCAATGGTATATCTCTAGCGCCTGATCCTTCATCTCCTGGTTCCTGGAATGTGATGTTCACGGTGCGACCCGTTCAATTTCTCGGCTAGTTTGCCCAAAATGTTGAGCGCTCTTATAAGACTCAGTTTGATGCCATAATATAGCAACATGATCTCTACTGAGACTTCCCGTCATGTTGATATGAAGGGATGGATCTTCTTGTGACTTGATCAAGTAGCAAAGGTGCTTCAAACTGTACCGAAGTTTACCAGAAGGCTTGAGCAAGATGCAAATGTTCTTGAGCTGGCTGTTCATTCAATGAGGAAATCCCTGCTCAAATGGTCGGCAAATCGTGTCTTCAAGCCCTAAAGCCGAACCAAATGAGGGGAAGTCTTGATTATAAGTAATGGGCCATCATTCGCTTCCCTAGGTAGTTTCTTATTTCAATAACAATTGTGTGTAGGAATCTAGGTGACGTGTGTGAAGCGCGAACCCGAAGTTCTTGGACATGGTATAGCGTCGGTTATCCTATCTATTACTGCCACACATCTCTCGGTACTCGGTATGTGGCCCCGGTACAGACACTCGGTAAACACTCCTCATACAACTTGATGAAAGTCGTCTCCGTAAATGAGCAAGCCATGGTACAACCCCGCCTTCTCAGATGTAGACAAATAAAAAGGCAGCAATTACAGCACTCATCTTTGGATCATCTTCGGTTGGCAGGTGTCACTGGGCTTGCCGAAGTTGCCCGCGGTAATCAGGCATTACAATGTCCGTATATTCGCAAAATAAATATGGTCTAGCTAGAGTCTTCCACCACAAGTATGTGACAAGTCCATGTGAAATGTGAAGCCTCATCGCCAGTATTTCCCCCCATCCAGAAACAACAACCCCTCTAGGCAGAACGTTGGTGAAAGTCGTGACACCTTGTATAGGCTCCGCACCCCGAGGACTTGGAAAATGGTCTATTAGAAAGCAGTAGCAGCAATAGCTCCAGATGGCGTCGACTTTGAGGGGCGCCTCATGAGTAGACCTCGGTTGGAGATCGAGCCCGCACGCGCATATGATTGGCCGTTTTTTGAATCTCCAAAATGATCGCACCTAATACTTCACCCCCTCCTCATGCCTTCTGCTCCTGTTGCTGCAGGTACTGGTATGCTCCGTAGGCAATGGCACCACCGATCAGGAGGAAGGCGTAGACACCAATGCCGAGGCCGGTGGCCTGGCCGGTCTGGGCGGCGGGAGAGACGGCGCCGGGTGCGGAGGCCTTGGGGGACGGGTCGCCGGGCTGGAAAATGAGGTTAGGATCGCGTTCGACAAAGGGGAAAAGGGGAAAGGGTCATTGGGGCACTGGGAGTGTAATTTGCCATACCTGTCGCTTCAGAACGCCGACCTTGAGCTGCTCTAGCGTCTCGCGGGCCTCGTCGCTGTGGCCGACATCCTCAAAGGCCTCGGTCGCATCCTGGCCGGCCACGTCGAGCAAGACCTCCTCACCACCGCTGTGCAACGAAGACATGTTAGTCTGGGCTGGGGAAGTCCGAGGATGGGTCGCGCAAAGAGCAGAGCAAGGGGCCGTGACTTACGGGTGCTCGTCGACGAACTTGGTGCTGTCGTAGACGGCATCGTGGATGACGACGTAGATGTCCTTCTTGGTGTTGTGCTCAGCAACGTCCTGGTAGGTGAACTCCTTGAGGTCCGACATTATGACTGTTGGGGATTTTGTCTAATAGGAATCGGAAGCGGGTATATACTGCAGACGCGACGCTGGAGTTCTGGGGCTGGCGACGAGCAGGAAGAAGGACAAATTACGTGTATGGGACGAGGAAAAAGGAACAATCCCGACAAGATAGCGGTAGATAAATGGTAGGTAGTAGCTAGTACGTAGTAGTGGTAGAGGTAGTAGAAGCCGAGAGAAGGTGGTCAGAGAAAATCGAGCGTATGCTACTGGTTGATCGGCCAATGGTTGGGGAGCTAAAGGCAGGAAAGGGGTCCCACGCTTTTTTTCTTTTTTTCCCCTTATCAATCTGGCTGGTGTTAGTTATCCCGCCTGCCACGGCCGGGCTCTTCACTTTTCTCCCAGGGGAAAATTGCTAATTGGTAGTGGAATTCTGGGAGACACACGGGGCGGTCGGGGCCATCGCCCACTAACACTTCTGGGCTCCGTCTGCACCACCTCGTGCCGATATTAGGTGGATGGCCTTCCAATTGGCTGAAGCTAGGCCTTCCTTGCACAAGCTCCTCGAGTGGTTCGATCCGGCATCTCAACATCCTGGGCCCTCCCCGTCTCCGTCGCTGTTGCTGCAGGAAATCATCCCCATCTCTGCAAGGTGCCTACGTAAACCCGCCGCCAACGCCTCGCGCGCCTTTCCCTGCCGCAATCGGCTGCCTGCGCGGGAAATTCAGCGGCGCCGCTCCAGCGCACTTGATGCACCCGAGACCCCCTAGGACCTATCTTTTCCCGGGGCCGGACTCTACGGTTTCCGGTGTAACTTAGGTGCAAAAGGTCGCGCTCGGAGCGCCATGCCATTGGCTACTACCACCGAGGTTGCTGCCAGCGCGCAAGAGAGCCTAACACGCTCGGGATCCATTACCGAAATGGGTCACTTATAGCGGCACGGTTTCGACCTCCAGAAACGGATTGTACAACATCGAGAAAGGTCTTTTATATAGCTTCATGATCCTCCGTGAGATGCAGGTTCTCAAGTCAAGTCATCAGTCATCGTCTGGAGCTGCCACCGCCAATGTCCTGGCCCAGGCGGTAGCTGGCCACCTTGTCCCACTCGATCTTCTGCCTCGTCACTGGCAGCTGTCTCCTCAGTCCCTTGAAGGCGCCCTCGCTCAGGCTTGTGAATCCCTTGTTCAGCTCCTCCTGGTACCTCTTCTCTGCCGTCGAGATCTCCTTCGCGATGCCGCTTCCCGTCCCTGATGGAATCGATGCCGTCACGGGCTTGTCTGTTAGAAGACGGACGTTTCCATCCTCATAGTAGTGAACATCCACCTTGATGCTGCCTTCTAGCTTCCCTCCTGCCGGGTCGTAAATGTAGAGCGAACGCCATCGGCCGTTCCTGTTCCCGTATTAGTATCAAACTAGCAGCCACGGTGTTGCGAAGCTGCGCACCAATAATTGTTCGGGCTATATTTGTTGGCCACGATGATGATGGCTAGCCGAGAGTCGTCCTCGATCGGGTACACACCGTAGGCAGCATTCGGAAAGTGCTCCTTGACATATGGCCCTAGGCTCTTGAGTGTTGATTTTCTGCGAGCACGGTCAGTCGTCGTCCCCAAGAGCTAGTCTACTTGCAAAGGGTGATCGTACACTAGGTCGGCTTGTTGGCCCTCCAGGACATAGCTCTGTACTCCGCTTGCTTTCTGGAAACCATGTCAACCTGGATGTCCTTTTCAGCGTCATTCCACAAGGCATCCAACCTGTGTAGCGTGGTCGAAGTCGAAGCTCGACGAGCTCTCCACATCGTAGTATTGCGTGCCTCCAAGCGAGCTGTGCGAGCTGACGATGACCTGTTGGCTGCTCCCGGGCAGCTTCACTGTGATGAACTGCTCCTCATTGTATTTCTTGAACGCGGGCCCGAGCGACTTAACCAGGTTCGGCGTGGAGATCGTGAGGTTCTTGATATCTGTCATCGATGCTATTAGTAGCCGTAAATGCCGTGCACATCGGTCTTCATACCATTGACAACTTCGCCCAGCTACTCAGCGTCAGTCAGCTTTCTTTGCTAGCCAGGGCGCAAGCGGTGTTGTCGGATGCTACGTACCTCTCCGGGAGGAGCGCCCTCCACGAAGGAAGACACCCAGTCTAATGACTCCGACATGGGTCTTCAGTACCACGAGCTGCTGTGGGGATTTGGTTGCCCGGGGACTCAGAATGCGTAAGATGTCGGAATTGAGCCTCTGCTGGGAGGTTGTTTGGTTTTTAGATCGCGAAACGAATGTCCGTCAGGCTGATCAAACAAGCTAGGCGCGGGGCAGCTTGTTTGCGAGGGGTGACGTGGGCTGACAGGTGTCAGCCAGCCGGCCGAAGATAGAGCTCCAGTCATAGTAGGTGCCATGTGCGGAAATCTCCAAAGAACTGCACGGCCTCTTCAAAATATTGATTTTTCAGTTGGCACTTCACTTTCACTTCTGGAACATCGCTTAAGCTGATTCGAGTTTGGGGAAACTTAAAGTGTGTTTTCAAAAGTATTTATTTTTCATGAAATAATTGAATTATTTACAGATGAATCAACAAGACCTGTCACGATTCTTCAGGATTGAGCATGTCAGCGCGACACATGCGACTCTATCTTGACAGCCCAAAATGCTCTGCTAGCTGCTTCAGCAAATGCTAATAATTCAACACCTTCTTTATGCTGGCATATATTCCTATCATTGTGTCAGCCCAAAATCCGCGTGTGGGGCGCGCATTGAGACTACTTACTGGCAACATCTGGTATGTTGAATTTCTCATAAAGCAACGGCGTGGGCGTGCTCCATCCGGCCACCCTTGCAACTGGCGCTTCTAGGTGTAAGAATGTTGCCGGGTCTTCCTGAACTGCTGCTGCAACTTCAGCACCGACGCCGGCGTTGACCATGGCCTCATGGACGACAATACACCGTCCAGTCTTCTGTACACTCTTGAAAACGCATTCCTTGTCCCAGGGGTATACAGTACGCAGGTCGATCAGCTCAGCTGAAATCCCGAGATCTTGCTCTGCCTTCTCGATGGCGGCCTGGCAGTTGTATAGAGGCTGTCCGTACGAAATTAGTGTTACATCTTTTCCCTCCTTCAGAACCTCCGCCTTCGATAGGGGCAGCTCGTAAGGCGCGACTGGGACCTGCTCGACAGCTGCTCTGTACAGAACCTTAGGCTCCATGAAAATGCAGGGATCATTACTCCTGATCGCCGCCAGCAAAAGGCCCTTGGCCTGCAGCGGGGACCGCGGTATTATCACCCGGAAGCCCGGTATGTGCGTGAAGAGACTCTCGGGCGACTGGGAGTGATACAGCGCGCCGTGACCGACCCCACCGCACGGCATCCGCACCGTGAGGCCGCCGACGTGCCTGCCGCAGGCGCCGTCCCTGTAGCGGAACTTTGCCGCCTCGTTGACCATCTGGTCGAAGGCCGGGAACACGTAGTCGGCGAACTGGATCTCTGCCACCGGCCGCATGCCCTCGGCCGCCACGCCGATCGCGAAGCCCATGATGCCCTGCTCGGAGAGCGGCGTGTTGAAGACGCGGTCTCCGCCGTACGTCTCGGCCAGCTTCATCGAGCAGCGGAACACGCCGCCAAAGGCTACGTCTTCGCCGAACAGCAGGACGTTCTCATCCTCGGCGAGTGCTATCGAGAGGGCATCGTTGATCGACTGGAACAAGTTCATCCGTTTGGTGGGACCTTGCCGGACCTCGGGCGGTAGTTCTGGGTTGTTTAGAGCCGATTGAGAAGCATGTGCGAGCAGTGGGGTTGTCGCGTAGTCAATAGGCAAGTTGAGCTTTGCATTCGGAGGATGTGTTGAATACAGCCGTTGCGGCAGTGTGCCAATAGATGGTGAGGAGCCTGGCTTATGTGTGCGGAGAGCGGAAGTCAGTGCCGCCCTCAAGTGATGAGGCGCCTGGACCCTCATAATGCCTGTACTTGCGAGTTTCGAGCCAACATGGATAGCAGTTCACCTCACAGATCGCCCCGTACAAGCCGGTTAACGAGAAAAGCCAGAATGCTCAAGCAATTGAGTCTAGAAACGTTGTCAGAGAGCAGCGAGGGGTATCCCGCGGATGATGTAAAGCGGTCGACGATGAGGTTCGGCTTGCGACGGCTGTTCAGTGGATCGACCTGCCGCTTCCCCAGACCCCTGGACCTCGCCTGGAGCAGCCCCGCAATCGCCCGCCAATGCATGCACTTTACTCCCGATAAGATTGTTGCTCGGCCAATATCCGACGGTCAACACGCGTCCTTGGCCAAAACAGGAAATGACGTGGACGCATCATCCACGACCTGGGCTCCCATTAATTAGATCTTGACTAATCTGATGGCTTTTGCATTCCAACGGCCAACTTGTCTCACATTGCATTTAAAGACACTGGGTATAATTAATCGCATTTGACGGCAATGGCCCCAGCGGAGGCGTCACGGCCGTCTCATCGACATCGAGACTCGGGAGCCAGGAAACACAAGAAGCGGAAATCGAGTTCGCGGAAACATGCATCTACGTCGGAAGAAGGCCGCTCGGGCCGGAGCTCCCACGCCTTATCTGCAGATGCACTTGCTCAGCTTAATCGCCAAAACGTTAGAACGGGAAATGTACGGAATGTGAGGGAGGAGGTAGAACGACCAGAACGCAGAGAAAGAAGGAGACGAGAATCTAGACCAAGAGACGTTGATAGAGAGGACCTCAGAGACGCAGGCAGGGAGCAAGGTAGGCAAAGAAGGAAACGGGACTCGAGACCAAAAGAAGTCGAAAGGCAAGAATATCGAGTCGTGGACAGAGACGAGTATGACACGCCTCGGAAAGAACAGAGGCGGAAGAAAAGCCGAGTTGTCAGCGGAGCCATTCTCGAGGAAGGTCGATCGAAGAAATTCAAGGGCCTTCGAGGCGGCGGCGGCGGAACGAGCAGCTATGATAGTATCGACAACGAGAAGGAGGGGCTCTATTATGAGCGTGAGAAGAAGCCGAAATGGAACAAGAAGCGATTATGTAAGAGTTCGGACTCTTGGGAGCCATTGGTTTTTGGCTAACAACTTAGTGATTCTCGCTGGGATTGGTATCGTCTTGTTGATCGTCATCATTGTGGTCGCTGTCGTCGTCAGCAAAAGAAACGCCAACAAGGGCTCAAGTTCATCTGGGTCAAGTTTGAGCGATGTTCCGAAAGACAGCATACCATCTGATGCACCTTCATGGCTCGACCCTTATCAATGGGCAGATACACTGGATTTCAATCTCACGTACACAGACGCGACAGTAGGGGATCTGCCGATCATGGGCCTCAATACGAGCTGGGACGACTCGACGGCTGCCAACGACAATGTTCCGTCGATAGACACATCTTGGGGCTCCTACGGTGATACGCCCGCTCGTGGAGTGAACCTTGGTGGCTGGCTATCGCTAGAGCCTTTCATCACACCAGATCTATTTGACTACGACTCGGGCCTAGGTATCATTGACGAGTGGACATTGTGCACGCATCTGGGAGACGACTGTGCTAGTACACTGGAAAAGCACTATTCGACTTTCGTCACAGAGCAGACGTTTGCAGAGATTGCAGATGCCGGTCTTGATCATGTCCGGATACCATATTCCTACTGGGCAGTCGTCACATATCCTGGGGACCCTTACGTGTTTCGCACATCGTGGAGGTATCTCCTACGTGGCATTGAATGGGCGCGGAAATATGGGCTCCGGGTGAACCTCGACCTGCATGGTCTGCCAGGAAGTCAAAATGGGTGGAATCATAGCGGACGGCAAGGACCGATTGGGTGGTTCAATGGCACAGATGGTGATCTGAATGTTCAGAGGTCTCTCGACGTGCACGACAAACTATCGAAATTCTTCGCTCAGGATCGATATCGGAATATTATTTCGCATTATGGCCTGGCGAACGAGCCCAAAATGGTCTACCTTTCCGCCGATGATGTAGTCAGCTGGACAGGCCAAGCTCACGATCTCGTGAGGAAAAACGGTGTTTCAGACGCCATTGTTGTCTTTGGAGATGGGTTCATGGGGCTCAGCAAGTGGCAGGGAAAGCTGACAGGGTATTCGAACCTAGCTCTCGATGTCCATCAGTATGTCATCTTCAACAATCAGCAGATCGTCTTCAATCACACCCAGAAGATCAACTACGCCTGCGAAGGTTGGACGCAGCAGACGGAGCAGAGCATGGACACTTCCACTGGATTCGGCCCTACTCTAGTTGCAGAGTGGTCGCAAGCCGACACCGATTGCGCCAAGTATCTGACCAACGTCGGTTGGGGCAACCGCTGGACCGGAACGTACGACACGGGCAACTCGTCCGATCCGAATAACGCCCTGACTCCTCGATGTCCGACGACAGACAGCACCTGCTCCTGCTCAGGCGCCAACGCGGACCCGAGCCAATACAGCGACGACTACAAGAAGTTTCTGCTCATGTTCGCCGAGGCGCAGATGACGAGCTTCGAGAAGGGCTGGGGCTGGTTCTACTGGACGTGGTGGACGAGCGAGGGCTCGACACAGTGGAGCTACAAAAGGGGGCTTGCGGCCGGTATCCTCCCAAAGAAGGCATATGACAAGAGCTTCAAGTGCGATTCGGATATTCCGAGCTTCTCGGGCTTGGCAGAGACATATTGAGGCGCGCCGCTGATTTCGGGATCTTTTCACAAAAGCCCGCGGGTGGAGATGGGTTGGACGTAAGCTATGGGCGGAGACAACGACGAGTGGTTTTGCATGGCATATGGCGTTGAGTTTGAGATCATTGTTTGGAACAACATAAGCGAGCGGGCATATAGATTGGCGATCATGGGCAACAAGGACTGTCAGTAGACAGCTGCATATATCCGATGAGCGTTCATGACTGTACCAAGACAAATATGTGTAAGTTTATCGGCGATAATATGATAAGAGAATAATATGGGAAGATTTTTGTCTGAAGTGTAAAGATTGTGATCACATGTGACTGATCTGCTTGTGAGATCTGGAGACAGCCATGATGGTGTTGACGGAGCGAAGCAACCTACACGTAGAAGCTCTCCACAACAGGCTCTCCAACTCGGATCTCGCCTCAATATCTTAGACCGAGAATCATGTCTTTAGAGATTGCTACAGATCACTTGTGCTAAAATGTGATACGCGGATATATCGGAGACAAGAAGGGTCTTCACTTTGTTGATATCTCCAATTTCAACCTTGAGAGCCGCATGATACGAGCTATGCTAGTCTTAACGCCTAGCGTCTGGCAATCACCTAGATGTAACATGTAAGAGGCAAAAAAGAAGTAGGGGTGTCTTCCAGGCCTATTCTACACTATACTCGCAGGGGCAGTTGCGCGATCACTTTTGCGGCTCTTTTAGAGCTGACGGGCCAGGAAGCAAAGTGTGGTCTTGGCACCAAAGTACAGCGCTCAAGACTTCTAGTGCAACATCCTTACGTTACATGTACATGTACATGTACTGTACTGCATAGTTAAGCGGCCGGTATACAACGGTCCGCAGCTGCGGAAAACGTGCCCGGAATGCCCAACTGCGGCACGTCGTACGCCATGGTCTTATATAATCTCCCATGCCGCTTCCGCTCGCCGACCGCTGGCGCCGTCGCCGAGAGAAAGCGAGGCAAAACATACATGGACCTTACAAATCTTGCCAGGCGTTACTCATTGAGCTCCATTTCTCAGGAAGGAGAAGCGATTTCGGCGATTAGAGATCAGACAAAGGTGTTTTATAGCATCCTTCGGATATAATCAGCAAATATGGGCTGGAACAGGCCTAACTGGAACTGTGACTCGCCGCAATGTGAACCACGAGTGGATTGTGTGGGCATCATCGCGCCCTCGCGTTTCCGCACCAATTGCCGAGCCATTTCCGTTGCGTCATGGTTTCTGTCAACGATGGCACCCTGCAAGCCTACGCTGCATTCGGCCTTTTGGCAAGGCTTTTTCGGACTGTTGGGTTCTCGACTTGATGCTCTTTTTGCATATATGACACGCCCTATTTCTGATTTGTTTTACGTGCTGGAATAGCAGACTTGCGCCGCATACCACCGAAATTGACCGTTTAGCGCTACAGTGGAGTTGCGCACTAGTCCCCGTTCATAAGGGCATCCTTCGTCAACTTGTTGCATTGGAAAGACGATTTCCCGCGCTGAATAATCCCCACCTTGTCGGAGCGCATGAATAATGGAATGCTCCGTCTAGTCTGAGTCAACAACGAAGTCGAAAGAACAGAAGAAAAGGAGTGTACGCCAGGGGATCTGAGTTTAAGGGGTCCAGCCCTCCCAGTGAAAGATAAGAGATATATCATTGGCATCGGCCCGGTACATTTTCATGCGTGGCCCATTGAACGTGGGCTCTCATCGGAAACCATCTCAACACTAGCAGGGGTCAGACGATACTTAGCTCTACAGTATATCGGCCCACTTGCACTTGAAGACTCAGAAAAAGGTTGCAGGGCAGTCAACGCCCAAACAACACTCAAGCAAGAAGGGGGAAGATGAGCGAGGCAATGACTGAAAAGGAGATTGAGCGAGAGGCCACCAACATGGCTGAGGAGTCAACAAGTGAGAAAGGTTTGGAGAATGACCTCGAAATTGGTGATGATGCCGACACAGTGGCCGAGGAAACATATGAGCCAATTCGATCAGTCCACCCGTCCAGGCTGAGAACGCCAAGGTCAAGATCGCATTCAAGATCAATTCGATCACTTGACCGGATGAGATCCAACAATGGCTACGGAGTTGATGACTTAGAAGAATCTTCTGACGATGTTGAGGGCCAGCCGGCTCACGACAAAGATCCATTCGAGGTAACATGGGAAGGTGGCGACAACGATCCTGCATGTCCGCGAAGCATGCCCGCGTGGAGGAAATGGCTAATTGTCTTTGTTACTTCATTTGGAAGTTTCTGCGTGTAAGTTGTTGCCGGTCTTGTGAAGCTTGAGACGATGTCTCAGACAATGGCTAACTGAATATGCTAGCACTTGCGCAAGCTCCATTTACACGTCCACTTACACTCAAATGGATGCTGAATTTGGAAATTCCAGGATCGTTGCGACACTTGGTCTTTCGCTCTTCGTTCTGGGAATCGCACTAGGCCCTTTGTGGAGCCCGTTGAGTGAATTCTATGGCCGTAGACCGATTTACCTGGTTGCCTTCTTCGTTTTCATGATATGGATCATTCCATCTGGTGTGGGAAAGAACATTGAGACTGTTATAATTTCACGGTTCTTCCAGGGCCTCTCTGGTTCCGCCTTTTTATCAGTTGCCGGTGGAACCGTTGGCGATTTGTTCTCGAGAGAGAACATGCTTGCTCCGATGACCGTTTTCACCATTGCTCCTTTCGTTGGACCATCGATTGGACCTCTCATCGGAGGTCTAATCAACACATACACGGACTGGCGGTGGACACACTACGTCCTAATCATCTGGAGTTTCTTCCTGTGGCTCGCCCTATTCTTTTGCGTTCCTGAGACATACCGTAAGTCCATCATTTTCATAAATACAACATGGTTGGCGTCTAACCTGTGGCTCTGTTATACAGATCCGGTGGTTCTCAGAAACAAAGCCCGACGGAAGCGCAAGGAGACGGGAGATGAACGATGGAAGGCGCCAATTGAGAAGTCGAATAGATCTATGCTGAAGACCGTGGGCTATTCGCTACTTCGACCATTCCAGATCCTCATCTTTGAGCCGATGGCTCTCAATCTGGACATATATTCGGCGATTCTCCTAGGTATCCTTTACCTTTTCTTCGGAGCCTTCCCGCTGGTCTTCAAGACTAATCATGACTTCAACCTTTGGGAGGTTGGTCTGGCATTCATTGGCATGTTTGTCGGCATGGTCATAGCCGCTTTCACAAGCCCTGTGTGGTACAATATCCGTGAAAAGCTGATTGAGAAGAATGGCAAGAGCGAGCCTGAGTTCCGTCTGCCCTCGGTCATTGCAGGATCAATCCTCGTACCCATAGGCATGTTCTGGTTTGGATGGACCACCTATCGCTCGATACATTGGATTGTGCCTATTATCGGATCAGCTGTCTTCGGAGCAGGGTAAGTGCTTTCCATTCTTACTATGGTAATCTGAGGTTCGAGAGAGGATGTTCTTGGCATAGTAGTGCCGATCTCATCGGCATGTGCTCCTTGCCCCTGACGAGATCGACTTGACCTGCGCCGGCGGCCTTGCTGGGACTCACTATGGAGACTTTCTGCGGGTTCATGCACCCTCTTACGTCTTTCCTGGATTTAGTCATGCATTTGTCAGGGCGCTTCAGGGCAATCTTGCTTACTCTGTGGTCATCCATACCCGTACCCTGTGAGTGCCATGCGGCTAACCGATTGGAATTTCTTGTAGGACGCTGCTTGTGTTCAACGGAGTATTCACGTTTCTTGTAAGTTGTCCCACCGACTCACAACACCGTCGAGGAACACGGACACAGGACTATTTCCAGCAGATTGACTGGCCCGAGTACGAAGCTGACGTGTGACAAAGGTCGATGCCTACCCTCTCTATGCTGCTAGCGCTCTGGCCGCCAATGCGTTCGTGCGATGCACATTTGCAGGTGAGCACTGTCTCGGCTGGAGCAACGTCCTTGCCGTCCAGCTGGGTCGTTTTACCTGACTTCTGTGTGCTAACCTTTGCCACAGCCGCGTTCCCGTTGTTTGGGATACAGATGTATAACAAGCTTGGCTACCAGGTATGTGTGGGCCTTGTGTTGCAACTTGATCGCGCGGTATTCTAACTCGAAACAATAGTGGGCAACTTCTCTCCTGGCATTCCTCACGGTTGCAATGATGCCGTTCCCCTGGATTTTCTTCTTTTACGGGAAAAGGATACGAAGCAAGAGCAAGATGGCGACAACGGACTGATGCACCGGCGAGGAGCGCTTGTAACAAAAGTCAGGGATCTAGGGTTTGCGACCGCATAGCATGAGGTGAAAGGCAGTTGGACGCCTTCGACGCTCCCCGCCAATCGGCGCCCAGCCAGCAGCGCACCTGCAGGATGCTGACCTGGGATTATGAGGATGGGGACTAGGGCTAGCAGACAGTTACAACTCGACATTGGAGCAACCGCTTGGCTTGCTTGGCTCAGATTGATGCTGCCTTGTGTTTATTGGAGGCGGAAATTGAAGGACCTCGTGATAGCATCAGCTGAGGCTGTGTGGTCGGACATATTCAGACTCAATATGTGGTGTATCATGAAGATATCAAGAATAGCACCCAAGAGACAAGCAATAGAACCACCCGGTCTACCCAAAACCGCGTTGACTTCTCATCATTCGTTCAGTGTGCCTAGAGATGCGTGGGTTTTGCGAGGCCCTTTCGGATATGATGTGCGGATGCTGCGCAACACTGCTTGTCATGGCATGCTGCAGGAGGGGGAAAAGAAAGCCCCTGGTTGCGAATGTAAGCACTCGACTGGTAGCTTAAGTTGGAAGATGTTGTCAAGCCGCACAAGATATGTCATTTCTGGATCAAGCGGTGTGAAGAATGCAGCCACTCATGCAAGAGGCCAGTACTTCGTATTTCAGATGGCTGATCTCAGCTCAGAGCCGCAAAGCACTTGCTCGGGCCATTCCGCATCGCATTGCTGAAGATCTGTTCTGGGCCCCCCACGGGCGTTCGATAGTGTGGGCCTCAGCTGCGAGGCCCGGGGCTTCATGAAGAAGGAAGAAAGCAGGTTAGGACTCAGGTTATGCCAAGCACCAGCGAGAGCAACTGCCATGCCGCGTCATCATCATCACGGCATGCAGACTGCATGCTGAAGATTTCTCTGATTTGCGTCCGGGGGTCGACGCATCTCGCAGGCACCTCGCAGGCGCCTCCAAATATAGGAGTGATTTGCGATTGGTACCTGCAAATCGAATGCATGCCGCGAGCGGTGATAGCTTGGAGTGTTGTCTCCTGTTGTCTCCTGTGGCTTGCCGTGACTATTGGAGCTGCTAATTGGGAGTTGTCACTGCAGCTTGTCGACGGGGGCGCCAGGATGACAGTCTTGTTGCTCCACTCTTGTACTTTTGACGTGTTTGATCTGCGAGGAGAAGATTACCAGTGTTCGGCATCAATTGGATAGATGGAGAGACTGGTCTGTGTTGGTCTTCAGTAAGCCATTCGTGCGCACCACAATAAGCCCGTCGTTTTGACAGGTCATGGCAATAGCGTGAAATTGGCCCGCCGTCACTTGACGCTGTCTCAGTCCTGATCAGCCTCAATAATGAAGTAATGAAAGGGAAGAGCTGTATGGATAGCTCTTTCCAGATTCAGATGTAGTTGTAGTTAGCTCAGGTAGGGATGGAAGTCTAGAACGGGAAGGCGGCTGAATTGCACCTTCTCTGGAACAGCGATTTCAGCCTTTCGTTTCCTGGGATTGCCTCAACTTGGGCCATGATAATAAAGAATGTTAATATAAAAGGCGGCGGCTAACTTTTAGCTACATGGGTACTTAAGAGCTGCAGGTATGGGGTACCTCTATTAGCAAAACAACTGCTGCTGTTGGCTGTGGCACTTCAACCCAGCCAGAGGGTACAGAATACGCGATCGTCACGAGCAGAAAAGCCCTCGGCTAAGCAACGCTTGCTTCTGACCTTACCTTACTCTGTCCTGGAAGGCGCTCTTAGCTTGGCAGCAAGTCGCAACTGCCCCGACTGTTCCTGTTCTAACCTGTGCCGTATAGACAGAGAGGAAGGAAGGAAGGAGCTCCAATATTCAAACCCCGCAGGTCGGTCAGAATTTGCCCATCATTAGTGAGAAGCTCCATTTCCCACTGTCCCGTTTGCCCAAGCTTGCATCATGCGCAGTCCTAAGTAACTAGGTAGCTCCCACCCACCGCAGGAGCGATCTATGGTGATATCTCACGCGCCTCCTTTACCTCGGTTTTCCCCGGCGCATAATCGCAACTACCTGTATGAGCTTCGCTAGAGTCTAGATATCTTTTGTATAGTCACGATCTTCTTGAATTGCCGGTGTCAGTCTGCGCAGATAATTTGGTGGTGGTAATCACAGTGTGCTGTATTGGACCGGGCGCAGAATACCGGCCCTGGGGCTGGGAGCGGGTCCCATTGCCGACTCAGACCCGTGCGGAGCAGGCGAGCGCCATCAAATCCACTCACATCTCGCACCCCACCTCTCCTCAAGTGCAAGTCCAAGCCAGTCGGTCCTGTCACTTCAGGTCTGTCACTCACTCACTCACAACACAGCCCGGCCCGGCGGCGATCATCCAATTCTCGCTCCTCCTCCTCCTCTACCTCCTCACTCCTCTCAATTGCGACGACTGATCTATCGCCTTGCGACCGCGACCGCTTCCCACCGCAGGATCACATCCGGCGCGAGGCGGCCAGACCGCGCAAAGTACCGCAAGCGCAGCTCTTCACCTTTTTCCAACAATCTCCACTCTCCACTCACTCCCTCACAGTCCGACACACGCACATAGACACGCACACCAGGGCGCCGATTGCTTGCTCTCCGTGTTAGTCCCTGATGTGAACAGACAAAAAAGGTGACGGATAGCTGCAGCAATCTGTCCCCCTACCCTCGCCCTGCTCAAGGCTTGTCCCAGCAGCGAACCGCAACTCTACGAGCGACACAAAACCCAGGAGAGCACCGTACCCACTCCCCTGTGTCTCCATGCGTTCTGCGATACCTCTCCGTCTACTTCCCTATCCACCACCACTATCGATCTGTCTAGTGTGAGGGTCCCGTCACACAAGAAACGCCTCCCAAGACCTGGGGACAACCCTATTGGAGATCTGGACGAAGCCGTGATAGTGGCCCGCCTGCAAATACGAGAGCTCGACCAGTTGCGCTGTTATTGGCATATCATCTAGCTTCTCCCCCTCGCAATCTCCAGAGATCAACATACCGCCCGCATCGCGGAATCGCACACAGCCATCCGGAGCTATATGCTTCCTATCGCACCGCAGCCGCACCGCGATCTCGTCTTGGATATTCGATATCCGCGCGCGGAGGCTGGCTTATTGATCTTCGCCACCAATCACGGACGTATTCCCCACGTTCACAAAACAGCAGGCCCGCTGAAGAGCTAGACCAGGCCGCAGCGTATTGTGCGGCGGCTACCGACCCTGGCCTTGTGCTACCCCTGTGGCATTACTGCAGGAGTCGAGGGTTTTGTCTCTCCACTCCTAGGACCTTTACGTTCAGGGAGGTGTGGTGCCGCAAGGCCTGGCTCGGACTTACACTGCCGTGCCGTCATTACGAGCCAACCCTGTTGCATCTGGACGTATATATAGACCTAAGACAAAATGCCGGAAGAACTCGACATCAATGGAGACGAGGTCTCGGATGCCATGTCTGAGAACGAGAATGACTACGAGAACGACGCCGCCATGAAAGACGAAGACGACACCATGGCAGACTCAACCCTTGCTTCAGAGATCGGTGCTGATGGCTCCGAGATCAAGAAGAAGTATGATCCCAAGGACCCTTTGCGGCCAAGAAGGAAGAAGGCTCGTAGAGCTTGTTATGCTTGCCAAAGAGCCCATTTAACATGCGGTATGCCATGTCTCCCTAACAACTGAATCCCTTCACACAAGATGAAGCTATAATCCCTAGATCCTCTCCATGTGGCAGGGGTTAGGATACAAGCCTAAATCTTGTTGTCAAGGGCTCATCTTCCTCTGTTGGAGCCTTGAGCTCCTATGAGCATGACTGATATCTCACTTAGGCGATGAGCGACCATGTCAAAGATGCATAAAACGTGGTCTTGCAGACGCCTGCCAAGATGGAGTCCGGAAAAAGGCCAAATACCTTCATGATGCGCCTCCTGAGGCTTTACGACCTGTTTTGGGGCCAAATTATAACCCTACTCCATCTTCAAACCGGCCGAATAACCATCGTCATCCATCTAGCACCGGCTCGGAGGCTTCATCTACCGTAGGGACGTTCTTCTCCCAGGCAAACACCTCCACGAACTTTCCAATGTTCTCCTCGGCACAAACGCCTGTCGCTTCTCTTCCCGAAGGATTGCCCTTTGGCAGTCAGCAGTCGCCCGTCTCGCCAACTTTCCAGGGCCCAACCAACCCACCCATGAGTGGTATGACTGTGCCTCAAGTAACTGCAGACATGTCAGGCATGGGCCAGACCTTGTTTGACCCCAGCAACCCTGCCATCTTCAACTTCAATCTCGAGGCCCTCAATTTTGGCAGCCAGTACGGAGGACTAGAATTTGCAATGCTTGGGCACATGTCCTCAGGTGCTGCGGAGACCCCTCCGCGCGACCCGTCCTTGTCTCAGCAAGGGAGTGGAGATGTCAACTTCGGCTCAGGAGTTTTTGGTAATGGTGTAAACCAATTCGACACCGGTATGATCGGCGACTTTTTGTCTACAGACCAGTCAGGCAATGGCCTATACTCCCAAGGCAATCTCCGGCACGGTCTCCCTCATGCTTACGCCATTGCAGCAGGTCCGACAAGCCTTCAAAGCCCCAGTACGGAAAACAACAGCCCACAACCCAGCAACAACTTTGGTTTTGAGGGATCGCCTACCACGACCAATTTTGGTCCGCCGCCTCGACCGAAATCCAAACCGGCGCCGCCCAAGTTCGGCCCACAGTCCATCCTCAGCAAACGCTCACGGGATCCCACCTCTATTTACGAGACGGTCAAAGAACCTTTCCAATACGTTACCGGTTTCCATCGGCTTTTCGCAATTCTGCAAGAGAGATACCATGGAAACAAAATCATTCGCATCGCGAAAGCACTGGGCAGCATTCGGCCGTCATTCATTTCATGTACCCGCACACTCAGCCGGCCTGACCTGGTCTTCATGGAGAAGTGCTTTCAAAGAACGCTTTTTGAATACGAGGACTTCATGTTGTCTATTGGCAGCCCGTGTCTTGTTCTACGACGGACTGGCGAAGTTGCAGCTGTGAACAAAGAGTTCTCAGCCCTTACCGGCTGGTCCAAGGATATCCTTCTGGGCAAAGAAGCGAATCTCAATGTCAATACCGGAAGCGCCGGGACATCAGGAACCAACTCGGGACGGGGCGGTCTCAACACTCCAAAGCTTAGAAGTTTGAATGCAGATGCGGCTAAGGCATCGGAAGGCAAGCCGCAGCCTATTTTCATCGCAGAACTGATGGACGATGATAGTGTGGTTGAATTCTATGAAGACTATGCGCATCTTGCCTTTGGTGACAGCCGAGGAAGCGTTACGAGGAAGGGCCGTCTTCTCAAGTATCGTACACAAGAAAACCTGGACAGTTCGGCCAGCGCTGCGTCCACTGATGAGTCACCCAAAGACCCTCGCAGCAGCATTCTCAGCCATAGAGTCGCTCGCATCGACGGCGAGCATGGCATTTCAAAGATTGAGAGGGATGGCAAGCTTGAATGCACATATTGTTGGCATATTCGGCGTGATACTTTCGATATTCCTATGATGATTGTTATGAATGTATGTGTTAATCTCTACATCCTACCCCACCCGAAAAAAATCAAGTTGCTGACCGTCTACAGTTCCTTCCTTGTTATTACCCCAACCAGGAACCGCATCAGCTTGCAGTTTGAAAGGGTACTGAAACGCCAGGAACAAAACATCAGGAGCGGGAATGGGAGCTCCTTGGGCATGGAAAGGTGTTTTTACCGGAACCGGAGTAATGGACATTTGGCTGGGATTACGCTCTTTTTTTCTTAAAGAGCTTTCAGCAACACAATCGTGCTGGGTCATGTCTTCGTTAATCTGATAGCAATCACTAGGCAGGCATTTCTGAATATCAGGGGTGTATCCCCTTTCGTTATCATCAATAATCGTCTACCTATGACACCTGTCCCTTTATGTAGTGTGCCTCGTTCTCCCGTGTCTATTGTAAACCTAACCCCGCGCCCTGCCCTCTACACAACTCCTCCCCTACCGTCTAGCTTTTAGAAACCACCCCGGGCGACTCCCACTTCCTCAACTCCCACTCCTGCTCACCTCCTTTCGTCATGCTCTCATCTCGTCAGCCACGAGCCGTCCAGCGAGCCGCCCAGCTCCTTGGGCTTCCAGGCGTCCCTCTCGAGGCTCCTGCGGCCGACGTCGCAGTCGAAGTTGATGTCCTTGATGAGCGCCTCGAGCGAGGGGTAGCTGCGCTCGTCGCGGATGTAGCCGAGGATCAGCAGGCGCATCTCGACGTCGTAGAAGTCGGCGCCGAAGGCGTGCAGCACGTGCACCTCGGCGCTGCGCACCGTGTTCTGGTAGAAGGGGTTGTAGCCGATGGACATGACCATGGGGAAGAGCGAGACGCTCGTCTCTGGGGCGTCCGAGCCCGCGCCCGCGCCCTTGGTGTGGTCCGGGTGCGTCGCGGGCAGGGAGAGCGCCGCCCACCCGAAGTAGACGCCGCTCTTGATGTCGGCGATCCAGGGCGTGATGCCTGAGTCGACGGGCAGGTTGGCGGTTGGGATGCCCAGCTGGGGGTGGGTGTTAGTCGTCGTTATGAGAAATATCTACTGTTGATATGTGTGTGCTTGGAGGGCAGGAACTGCTTGAGCGGAGTAGAGACTCGTCACTTTACTCACCTCTTTGGAACCTCGGCCGAAGCCCGAGATGACCTTCCCCTCCATGCGCAGGGGGAAAGGCGCCTCTGGGCCTGCATCCGCGCCCACAATGAGTGGCCTCTCGGTGTCAGCCATCTCGATGCCCCCTCTCTTATGTGACTAGTGGTAGGAGATGAGAGAGATGATAGTTGTGAGTCAAATTAAGACCTAGAGGAATTGTTAGAAGCCTGGAGCGAAAAACTTATCGGACTTCATCTTAATCAGGTCTTTACTTACTTATGACACAAATACTGGAGAATTGAAGGCTAACATGTGAATTGTTTGTGTTGAGACGAAGTGAAGTGCAGATAAGTAAGCGGACGTCAAGTCTGCCCGCGATAGAAGGCGGAAGAGGGGCGTGTTTAGACGCAATGGAAGCTCATGGAGGGGTTCAGCAGTGGTGGTGGTGGGGGCAGGCAGCTTCCCAAAGAGCTTCGCCGGGTACGGAGTTGTTACAGCGAAACAGCTTACTTACGCCTGCAGTATATATATCTCTATCGTGTGTAACTAGTAGCCTTTCATGGGTCGTGGCCGGATGAATAGCCTACTATGAGGTAGCATGAGTCTCCAGAGTAAGCACAAATAAATCGATACAATTGGTCTGTTATAGCTCTGATCTTGTGAAAGCACGCTTTTTAAGGTGCTGACAGGATCTTAGATCCCGGGTTCAACTTGGCGAGATAATCAACTACAATTCCTCACTTCGTGAAATTTTCTACGATTTCAATTTTGGTCTTTGAATGGGCACATTGAATACGGTGGTTCTAATCCACAAGCAGATAGTAACACGATTTACTGTGGCCAAGAAGCTCGAATGGTTTTGGTGTCACTGACATGATATCGCCCCTACACTTACTTTTCGTCGACGAAGGCCATAAGCCTCTGACACTGAACACGGTTACACACACAACCGGACCCAAAAACTTGTCGCAAGCCTCGTTCATCCATGTGGAAGCACGGGCTGACGCATTTGGGATGGGCTAGTAGTTGTATCAGGTTCGCATGGTCGTGCAAGCGCCTCGATCACACATCTCACGCCTCCGTACCACATGATAACTGATGATATCGAGTCATATTATCAATCCTAACGCCTTATGAGAAAAAGAGAAGGGAATGCAGTGTCCTCACACACTGTCGGGGTATGTACTCCAGCCTTGTGACTCAAAAAACTCGAAAGCAATCCTTTCCGTCAAGTTCTTCCTTCTCTTGCTCCACTCCGTGTCTTGATCGAGCCCCTGTCCTCTTTCCTCTATTCTTTCCACTCTGTCCTGCCCAGGCGTATCACCGCCTTCTGGTCCACCACCCAGTATTTCTCGGGTGCTTTGCCATCCTCGGCGAGCTTCGCCGCCGCGACGGCCGCGCGCGCAATGACGTCGGCCTCGGCGGCGAACGAGTCCTGCATGCCCTGGCCGAGCTTGTGCACGAGGCCGTTGATCCAGGGCGTCTTGGGGACCTCGCGCTCGCCGAGGATCAGGCCGGGGCGCACGATGACGGCGTGCTCAAAGTCGAGCTCCTTGATGGCGTCCTCGACGCCGACCTTCATCTTGCTGTAGGGCGCGGCGCCGGACAGCATGCCGCGCACGCCGGCGGACGAGATGAAGACGAACGTCTTGACGCCCGCCGCCTTGGCCGCCTTGGCGATCTCGACGTTGAGGTCGTGGTCGATCTTCCACTGGTTGGCGATGCCGCCGGCTGCGGCGCGCGTGGTGCCCAGCGCCGAGTAGACGGTGGTGGGCACGGGGTCCAGCGACGAGAGCTTCTCGGGCCATTTGTCGGACTCGGCGTCGACGGTGGCGTGCAGCTTGGGGGAGTCGGCCTTTGGGGCGCGGCGGGAGACGGTGTGCACGACTGCGGCGTAGAGGTCGGAGCTGAGCAGCGTGGAGAGGATGTTGCTGCCGACGAGGCCGGTCGAGCCGAAGACTGCTGTGGTGGTCATGATGTTGTTTTTATGGTGGTGATGATGATGACAATGACGAGATGCCGAGAGGGTATTGGATTGGTATCAAATCAATTGGATTGCCGAAGCTTGTTGGTCTTGGGGAAGACTGAGGTCAGGAGATTGTTGGTTCTGGCCTTCAGCTTTTAAGCGCAAGTGAAACAGCTGGAGACCACCTTCATAAGGTTCATCGAACCCGAGCATTAATAAAGAACAAACAGGGCAGCATGCCAACGAAGGACATGGAAATGGCCATCCACTTGAAGGCGGAATATAGTTACTACCTACTACTCATGACAAGCCAATAACCGTACCATACTGGACTCGGCATGAGCGAGCGGATACATCGACCGAGGCACTTGCTCGATTAGATGTCTGCATGGCGGGATGGGCCTCAGACTCCCGTCATACCGTCATAGGGGGCACGCAGGTAGTCAAGCCAGACCAGTTACTTAGGTACCTATAGGCAGGGACATGAGTCGGAGACTTTTCTGACGGGCTACATCAGAGTTGTCCCGCATGGGGGATACCGGAAGCTCAGCTCAGTAACACTAAAATTACTTTGCTTCAACAGAGTTATAAACCTATCTCATTCCTCTACATTGTCAGTGACGTCTTTGTTAGCATGGCACTAGCTCGGGGACAAGTCGGGGATCCTCTTGTGTAACCATAAGGCACTTGCATGAGTGAGTATCCAGTCTGGCAAGAAGCTCGAAATATTGGACAGAATACATTGTACTCATCAATGGCAGGGATCCTTTCTCTCGCTCCGCCGGTGCAATGGAGAACTCCGTCTCCCAGTGGCCCCGTATCCCGATTTACTTGCGGAGTCCGCAATTAGCTAAGCGGACTTGCGGCCGTCGCCAAATGCTGCAATATTGAGTCCTGACCACAATGCGGTCCTATTGAGGCAAAACAACTTGATCCGCCGGGGCAGGGTTACGTAAGGAGCTTAGTTACCTGGGATTAAAGAGCTACCCACTGCCCACCAAAGACTGAGCTGAGGGGTGCAAGGGTCGTAGTGGAAGGGCTCCGTGGTGCGTCACACTTCCAGGTGCCTGCAGCCGGCCGCGAGCCCCGCCAACTACAGCCCACCACCCGCCTTCATTTCTATCGCGACCGCCGGCGCTATTCACAAAGACCAATCTCACCGTCTACTCATACACCTCGCCAATTCACGCGGTAAAGACTTTTCACAAGCATGGCGACGCAATACGAAGGTTCGTAAACAAGTCACCTCGGCCGAATCTCGGCGACGAGACTTCTCTTAATCTCAATGGAAGTGAGCTCGAGGCTGACACTGTTCTCCTTCTCGCGCAGTTGAGCACGGCATCAAGGCCTCCAACACGGCGCCCGGCCGCCGGCGGCAGGTCGACATGTCCACCTTCACCTCGCACCTGCACTCCATCTCCGGGTCGACTGATGACCCCGCCGCGCCCGACGCCCAGCAGCACAACAACCCGCACGCGACGGCCAACCCGGTCGACATGGCGGCGCTGTTCCGCCTCGTGCAGGACCAGATGGGCACGCTGGCGCGCGACGCGCCCACCGAGGCCAACCGCCAGCTGCTGCAGGAGCTGATCCTCTCGCTGGACGAGAGCATCCTCAACCCGCCCTCCGACGTCCCCGGCGTCTCCCAGGAGTACCTCGACACGCTGGACCGCGTGCCCAAGAAGAGGCTCAAGGCCGACGAGAGCTGCCCCATCTGCGCCGAGAAGTATCTCGACGACCAGTACCCGCTCGTCGTCGAGCTGCCGTGCCACCACAGCCACCGCTTCGATCTCGAGTGCGTGGGGCCCTGGCTGCAGAGCAAAGGCACTTGCCCGCTGTGCAGGAAGGACCTCACTAAGAAGAAGGAGGTGGTGGTGCAGGATGACGAGGAGGATGATGACCCCGACATGCTCTACGCATGATGTAATATTCATAGAGAGGGAGACATGGCATGGGGAGTAGATTTCCCGGTGGTTACTTGGTGAACTGGGGGCTCGGGAATTTCCAAGCGATCAATGAGCATATCACATCGGAGTTCGGGGAGTTCAGAGAGCGATGCGCATAATGAAATCTTATTCGATATCTGGCGTATCAATGCATTAGAATCAGAGCCTCTCCAGTATCAATAATGCTGTTAATGTACACCATGACCAGTCCTCTTGCGCCGAATCTCTGGTAAAACGTTTTGCAGACGAGCAAACTGCCTCATCAACACCCCCTCGAGCCGTGCCCTTCATATCTCGCTGCCGCTAGGAGTCGTGCGTGGGCGCCTTGCCGTGCTTCTGCGGACTGCCCTCCTTGCTGGCCGTCTTCTTGTCGCCGCCCTTGCCCGCCTCAGCCTCCTTCTTCCCCTCGTCGCCCTGCGGCTTCGACAGCTTCTGGTTCGCGCCGCTCGCGTCCAGAGGCTTTCCGCCCCTCTCCCGCTCGGACTCTGGGTTGGTGTCGTGCCGGTCAAAGGCCGCGTCGCTCTCCGCGGCGGCGTCGTCAGTGCCGCTCTTGGTGCCCTCAGAGGGTTTGGGCTTGAGTGACTCCCGGTCTTGATCATCCTTGTAGGGTCGCGACAGGCTGACCGTGCCATGAAGGTTGCGAACGGTAGGGAGAGAGGCGCCGACCGTGGGGGTTACGGGCATGCGAGTGACCCGTACCCGTAGCAGGGAGCGCATCGCTTGTGTTGACGGCATGTTGAGTGATTGTAGGTAGTGTGTAGGTTCGGAAAGACCCAATTTGATCAGTCGCTGTAACTTTTAGGGAGGTTGACAAAGCCAATTGATAGTGGAACATTCATGTTTTGGAGTAAGGGTCATTGGGAAGCATACGAGTTTAATTCTCGTGACGTCACTGATGCTCATTGCAGTCATTGTGGGGTTGCCGTTACCTGGGGTCCAGGCTAGACCATCTTACACTGGTAACTACTAACAAGTTAATGCCAGTTGACTCTTCAGCTTAACAAATCCATAATTGAGTTGATACCTGCCCTCTAACATTCTGAATCTTCATCGGATCATCTCCCGAGCTGCTCCTCAACCACAGACTGGAACAGACGACTTATGAGCCCGCATGAGGAGCAGCCTCATGTGCAAGTGAAACTTCAAAACATACAGTAAAATTGTGATAAACGTAACAGGATAGCACATTGATGACAAGTAGAGGAAAGTAAACCGTAGAGAGTATCATTCCTCGTCAAACAAGACCTTGTTATTGATAATCAGCTCCCTCGTCACAACCAATACCTCCTTCTCCCGCCTGTATCCCGAAGCATTCGGCTCAGAAGCAATACTGCATGTAACATTCGCCGCACACCTGCGGCGCCACGACGTCGGCGTCTTGCTGGCACCGCCGCGGTCCCCTGGGTTGGGAAGCGTCTCACGACTGGCGCGGTGGACATATTCCACCACCTCGAGATATCTCCTCTTCGACAGCCAGGCCCTCAGCCGCTCTATCTGCAGGAACTCCGCCATCTTCTCCAGCTTCGCATAGGCGATGTAGTCGAGTCCATCCTCCTCTGTCCACAGGAACAGCATGACGCCACTTCGTAGATAGTCCAGCGCGTGGCGGAACACGCCGGGGTCGAGGTCGAGATGGAAGTAGCTCGAAGGCACCGGAGACTCGGGCTGCGAGACGCCGCCGCAGCTGTACAGCCGAGCGGCGTTTCCGAACGAGAACTGCTGCGCAAGGTATTGGCTACCATCTGCCATGCCATCAACAAGAGTCGTTCTTGTTGTGATGAACTGCTCTTCTCCGACGTATAGGATGATGCGACCTGGATCCATTACTCTCGTGACTAGTGTCGCAATGTTGTGTGGTCAAGGCTCAGAGATGTGGAAGGTCGAGAACCGTGGAGATGATATCACGTTTGACACAGTCTCTGAGAGTTTAGAGGAACCCTGCCTGGAAGACCTTGCAAAGAAAAAGCACGCAAGTCGAACCTTGGTTGGCAAATGCAGTGAACCAGGGGAATCTTCAAACCTTCTTCATAGACCGTTTTGTTCACAATTGCACAGCCCCGAGACAAATCATCAAATGATAGCACAACTGGAATCGTGTTCTCAATGTATATCGATGTTCTGTATGTATACTAGCTCCCAAAGAGCCTGCTCATAGCCCAGTGGCTTCTGCTACCCATGCTGCTCCTTGCTATGATCCTATTGTTGCCAGTGCTCCGAATTGTGAATGCTTCTGTGACCCTAGAAGACCATTGAAAGCATAATAGGGTATATCCGTGTGCTTTCCCTCAACTCCCATGCTATGCGTGTATTTTGTCATGGACCCACCAAACGTAAGGATAGCGACCAAGTTGTCTAATGCAGAGAGAAGCCGTGCCAGTGAAAACACCCTGCCTCTCTGGCTGGATGGCGCAAAACAAAACAAACCCATATAATCCAAATAGCTGTACAGCAAGCCCCAGCAATAAAAGCATGGAGAGCGCTAGTCCGTCTCGCAAACCAAGATTCGGGGGATGCAGCTTTCCTAAACGCCAATACACCCAAAGCATGCCTACCTATTCTATGCATGTGCTCGTGTATATATGCATTGCCGATCGTGTCATGTAGTCCATAATCATGACCATCAACTCCTCATGTGACCCCAGTGCCCCGGATTCGATTACGCGTGCTGTGACGACAGCCATAGACTGGCGAACCTGATAGAATTGTCCCAAATAGTCTGTAAGCGTCGTTGACAAGACAGCGAGAGACCGGTCGCACAGATTAGAAGTAAATTTATGTTGACAGGAATCGAAAACCAGAGATTCCAATCAGGACGGTATGGGTGTTGTGCTTCCCTGGGCCTTCAATTCTAGTGGGTGCCTCTAGCCCTCAGAGGCTCCTGTGGAATAGGAGAAATATGAGAGGCCTGGTCTGCCTTTGGCAGATCAAGTCGCTTTCGGAACCAGCCTCCACGCTCCCATTGGCCAGCCGCGTATAAAGCGCTATTGCGAGTTTCATCGTTCTGAATGCCAAGAAGCAAAGTTTCAAGCCTCTTGAAATCGATGGGTTTCAGGATCCACCCGTCGAAGCCCGCACCGATATATGAGTCCTTGTCCTTTTCGACCAAAGATGCAGAAACTGCAAAAATGGGAATTCTCCCCTGGTTAAGGGCAAGCCTTGAGAGACCAGCATGATCATCTGAGCGCTCAGTCGTCCTGATCATCTTCGTGCTAGTAAGACCATCCACAATGGGCATCTGTTGAGCAGAGGTTAGCAAAAGCTGTTGCGTGGCTGGGCGCCTGACTGAGAGAGCATTTCCTCACCTGCATGTCCATTAGGACGACGTCGAACTCCTTGGACTTCTCCTTGTGTACAGTAGCGCAATCTTCGCCGTTCAAGGTGTGGAAAACCAAGTGGCCAGATTTCTCTAAGCGCTTGCGCAGGATCTTCATATTGACCGGATCGTCCTCTGCAACTAGTATTTGTAATGCTGCTGCTTCGGGCGAGGGATTCGTGGTATTGGTGTCTTGAAAGTCCTTCGCATCAATAGATTTCGCTGGCTGAACAGCACCTGATCCTTCTGGTTTGTCAGGGATTTCAAAGAGCACTCCTGATCTCTCACTTGGCTGTGGATTCTCGGGAAGATCGCTGTACTCGTCAGGAATCTTGACAGGCTTGATCGGTGTCTTGCTATCCGTAACGAATTGTAGGCCAACTGGAGCGATGGCCACATCATCTCTGCCAGGTTCCGGAGCAGACCTTGATCGAGGAATATCTGCATCTGAGGTCCCACGTCGAGACAAATTGCCCGGTCGTCCTACAGGTTGATATAACGCACCTCTAGAGCTACTCCTTTGTTTCGTGGTGTGCTCAGATTCAGGTTCTCCCAATGCAAGGGGCGTCTGGATGGCATCGATTAGACGATCGGCATCGCTCCTAAAGCTTCCGGCACTACCCTTGCTCGTGACACTACGATGGCTGGTAAGGCTAATCACCTCATCTAAGCTCTTCCTCTCAGACTCTTCACCAGGGCTTACTCTGGTTCGGTCAACTAGCAACACTTCGCCATCGTGCGTCGGTGGCCTGGTTGTAGATATAGATGCGGTGATCGATGCTGTAGCTGTAGCCTCTCCCGTGCCAGGATCCGATGTACCGCTAGATTGTAACTCGAATGGTAGTTGGATCACGAAGCGAGATCCCTTGCCTTCGTCTGATTTCAAGCGCAGCTGACCTTCCATGTTGCGAACAATTCTGGCGACAACAGCTAATCCTAAACCAAGTGTTCGAGTATTGGGTTTCTCCTCCGTGTGCTTTTCTAGAGGAAGCGCTTCGTCCACTTCGCTAGAGACCTGCTCCAAGTCGCGGAAGAGGGCGTCTAATTGGTCACCATTCATCCCTCGTCCTGTATCTTGCACGACTATTTCCACCAGCACTCGATTATCTTGGACTTCCGTCGAGTATAGCTCAATCCTGACGAGACCTTCAGTAGTGTGCTGAACCGCGTTTGCAGTCACATTTGCTACCGCCTGCCTCACCCTGCGCTGATCACCGTATACATATTTCGGCAGCCCTGGATGTTCAATGACTTCATAGCTGATGCCCTTCCTTCTTGCGTCGTTTTCGAAAGGTTCTGTAGCTTCCCTGATGCAGGCACAAAAGTCGAACAGCTCGTCTTTGATCAATTCCTGGCCTTCCTCAGTATTAGTAAGGTCAAGTAAGTCGTTAATGACATAGATGAGCGATTTCGAGGCCGAGTGGGACTTTGCAAGATTGTCCCTGGTCTCTTGGTCCAGACTGCCCTCGAGCGCAATTTCTAGATAATTGATGATGGCGTTCAGAGGCGTGCGAACCTCGTGTGCAGAGTTTGCGAGAAGTAATCGTGTTAAACGGCTGCTCTGAATTGCCGCTTCTTTCTGTCGCCACACCTCAATGAATTTACCTGCCATACAAATCAGCACATTGTGGTAGTAAATGGGTAGGGGTTTTCCTTTTGGCTTACCGTAAACAAGACAGAGCACAGCTGCGGTCTCTACTTGTTCCTCAGACCATTCTCGGCTCATGCCTAGCACCGTCTCGTGCCAAGTTTTGAAGCTCTTTCTAGGCTCGAGATAGTTCTGCGTGCCCTCGCGAATGAACTTCTCGTACGGGTTTCCGGCCCATTTCACCTCCTTGACTTGACCTCTCCTGAAAAAAACAATGAAATCGTCACCGCCCACACTTAGAGGTACATACAGCAGCCCAGCGATCACCGTGAAACCAGGTGGGTATCGTAAGTCGGGGAAGTCAGTCCCGATATCCTGAGATGTTACCACTGAAGTGAATTTGCGGACTCTGAGATACTCAAGCATGGCAAGAGCTTCTTGGGACTGGGGAAGCTTCCCAAGGATTTTGGTCTCGCCTCGAATTGAAAGCATACCAAAGTCGGCGTCAAACAATTTGAGCAGATCATCAGAAGAAGCAATGATGTAACCTGCAGGATTTTTGTCCGTAGGAACTGTGTTGATGAGCTTGCGCGCTTGAAGCCGGGAGGCGTATGATAAACGCTCGATATTCCGGGATACTGTGTCACCAACAAGACGACACATCTTTCTTATCGGAAAAGAAACCCGCATACCCCTCGGTCCGTAGGAGTGACATGCGATAAGACCCCATAGGTCGTTAAATGCGTTGATGGAAATGGACATGGAGGAGCGAACGGCCATGTTAGCGAGATACTTCAAATGAATAGGGGACATGGCTCGCAGATATGAATGCGTCATATCCAAAGCGGTCTCCAAATCATCCGTTGAGCGGCAGACCAGCCGAGCGGTCTCTTGATCGCGATCATACAATAACCGTACTTTGTTGAGCTTGTACAACTCACGGGCCTGCTTCGGGATATCAGATGCGGGAAAGTGCAACCCGTGGTAAAGGTCCTTGGTTTGCTGTGGATCAATAAGCTCCGTCACGACTTTGCCGTTGAAGGACGAATCGAATTGGTAGATCATCACACGATGGAATCCTGTCAGCTCCTTGACAATACCGACTAGGATTTTTAAAAGCTTCTCCAGGGTAGGAGCGGAAGCCAGCTGCTCCTGAACTTGTGAAAGAATGTCAAACACTTGCATCGCCCCGGCTTCGCCTCTTCGCTTTCGAGCACTCCTCAGGACTCGTAACGGTCTGCTCAAGACTTCTGTGCTCTCGGTAAGCTCTTCGAGCGTTGGGTTTGCGTCAAGCGTGTCCTCTGGAACGTCGGGAGTAAGCTCTTCAACCGGCCGGAGGGGGTAGTCCTGGTCATCGTCGAGTTCGAACTCGCAAATAATAAGATCTGGATGGGCTGGGTTGACGTGAATAGCACACCACAACTTGACTGATCTCTTTTTCGGTGGCCGAACCGACATACTGAAAACCTCAGGCCCATTCACCGATGGATCTGCCTCCTCGTCTTTGATGAAGTCAATGTGATCTAGCAGATTATCTGCCTGCTCCTCGGTCAAAATGTCCATAAAGTTTGCCAGTCGAAAGAGCTCCCGAGGCGTGTATCCGATGATACGTTTGGAGTTTTCGCTGGCGTAGCGTACCGAGAATGTCCCATCTGGTTCCTCTCTGATAGCGAGCATGAGACCAAAGCCTTGCACGGCACCAGGGGTATGAATCGGCTCATCTTCACAACGTTCAAGTCTCCCATCTCTGCCTGTAATGACAAGATGACCTTCATCGGTCATGACATGCTTGAAGCGAGTGGTCATGAAAGTATCCTGCGAGGTCTCCCCGTCCGGGGCGACTCCAACAGAACTACCATGTGGGCTCCGCTTCGAAATTTGGTCCTGAGACGGCTCCGAATCGTCTTCGTCAGAGTGATCCTCCGTGAATATAGGTGTCGGGTCAATGGTCGCACGACTCTGAGAGGGCAAGCCTGACTGGAATCGAACCATGGTGTCGGTTCTTCGTTGTTGGCCCCGGGGGCCAGGTGACATGATGGGAGATGAGACCGAGGGGCCGGAAGCAGTTGTGGCACTACGGGCACGCTTCGTGATAGTCTCCGTGTCCATCCTGGGGTGAGGGGGTCGTTGGACGGAGCTGGCTGAGCGCTCCGAGAAGTAGTCTTGTCTGCCGCTCCTCCCGTGGGGGTCAACACTGATGACGGATCGAATGGGGAAAACCCGATCACCAGGATCTTGCTGACTACCGTGGCCAAGCTGGCGATCGGAAGCGTTGCTATACGAGGTGGTCACCGAAGCGTTGGATGAAGCTTCGAGATTCGCAGTTGACGCGGCGGAGAGATCGATCCGAGGCTTATCAGAATGAGCACCGTCCTGCCCAAATTTGCCATGGTCTAGAATTCTAGGAGTATCTTGAACATCCAAATCGCGATCATTATGCTGAGAATCAGAGATTGGTGTTGTAGGTTGTTGCGGGCCATGGGACTGGCCCTGATCTGAATCCATGCCTCACTGAAATTCCCGAGGCCTAGAGCCCCATCCAACAGGCGTCTGTGACCGGTCGTTGTCCTCCGCCAGATCTGTCCCTGTCGATGAACAGAGTAGAGTTGAATAGATCTTGTGACATTGGGTTCTCGCCGCGAATCTTTCGTACGCCGTGAGCGCGCACTCTTCGTTGTTTTCTCAAGGCTCCTCCTGCTGAAGTGTATTGAGGTGGAGTCGTCGCGGGGTCTTTCTTCAAGGAGGGATCTAACGGCGAAGGGCGATGCGAAGGGCCCTTGCGAACAGGATCAGTGTCGACGCAAGATGGTGTTGATGCTAGGCTCGAAGTCTCTGGAAGGATGTCGGCGGCTTGTGCAAAACTCACGACGGGAGATCAGGTGAGCAGCAGAGAGCTGGTCTCGTGGTGAACCTTTGCAGATGAGTCCAACACAGAAGCAGAGACTAGGTACGCAATAGATAGACAGAATGGGTGAGGTAGGAGCCACAGATGTGTTTGGAGAGTCGAGGGAAGATTGCCACGGGCGCCACACAGCTGACTGGGTGTCTGGGTGTGTGCCACCGGGGCAGGCCCTGTGGAGATGAACGGCGTGCGGTAGTCGCCCTTCTAGTGCTCTGCCAGCCACTCACAGGCCCTTCCCAGAACCCCCAAGATTCCCGTAGTGTACTATGCAGTAGGTATGCACGGTATGGCACTCAGCGAAAAGGCGGGACAGTGAACTTGGAAGGAGCAACCCACCCCACCTCGGGCCCACCACTCACCCAGCCAGAATAGCCTTTTGCTGCTCCCGGGCGCCGAATCTTTCCCATGCTTGAAATATGGTCGTCGTGCCTTTCCCATAGTAACCCCGTTTCTTATGACCTGCACTACCGCGCCGTGCTTAACCACACTCAGTATCTCCAGCGCTGATCAATGCACCGCAGTGACTGTCCACCTAACCATAGGGTACCAGTAGGGGAACTTATTCTGTTACATGGCAGCAAAGATCAACCGACCTTATAAATGTGACAGGTTTTACTTGTTTTCCCTTACGTGATGATACCTACCTACTGGGGAGAATCTGTTCAGGGGCTCCTTGCAATACGTATACCTACCTGGGCACCTACCTACCTAGGGTACGTATACGCTTCCATTTGGATATCATTTCTGAAGAAGCAATTGCTTATCGACAGGTGTTCTGTGGTGCTACCTCCTGAAAGATCGGCAGAAGGGAGGGCGGCCATGTTTCGCGTTTGCTGGCTCTTGTCAGGTTTGGCTGGCTCGCTGGCTCAGGTCGGCTGGTTGGATCGACGATCCCACGGCAAGGGTGGTGCCTTTGTCCGTCTGTCCGTTCTGGTGATCTTTCGATTGACAGCCCGTACATGCATGCCAGTCGAGTTACTGAGCTGTCGCCCTGCTCCTCCTCACCTGTCTCGTCCGATGTAGCCGACTGCTGATAAAGGTATTCTTGAGCACTTGTAGAAGCGCTCTTTAGATCAAGAAACTCTTGTAACAATGGGTAATCCAGCCCATGAGATCGGGGAGCTTGGACCAGTCTCTGATGTCATCCAGTCCGATCGATTTCTTCAGGTAGACCCTCCACCAATCGCATCCAGTTTTCGGCAGGCTGGATATCCCGTTTCAGTAAGAGCGTTCGTGCCTGTCTGGCCTGGCCTACAAAGGTCTTCGGTAGTCTGTCTGTGGTTCGGTATGCACCACCTGTGTAGGTGGCTGCCCACCCGAGCCGCCCCTACACAAAAGTACCGTACAGTGCCGTGCAGGCACCCCAAGCCTGTCAAACCACCATGATCAGCAAAGAGATGATTCAACAACGTCTTTTTGTAGCCGGCAAAATTCGCATCTCGAATAGTCGCTTTGTTCTAGTAAATGACAACTCATTATATAAACGCTGGCCAAAACTGCCAGGCTCCGTTTCTAAGTCGTCACCTCAGAAGCATTTTCGATTGCCTTGAACCACTGTACCTCACTAACTTCAGCTATTCAGCTTCCAACAATCGTCTTTAATCAATGGTTTTGGTAACTATTTTTTGAAGCCTCTCTGAATAAGGCTGTTCAAGCGGTAGGAGTTGACTCTCGACACAACTCCAACGTCGACGAGGTCGCCTCGGAGTTCGCCAAGCTCTCCATAGACAGCGAAGTCCCCGAGCTCTCGCACATCGTCCCAAGTCAACATTATGGAGGTAGATTCGGAGAAGAAGGAAGACGAGGAAGACGCTGAGCTGCCAGATGCCGAGGTGTACGAAATGACTATAACCGTGGAGTTGAAGGTCATGGTAGACGATTTGCGACAATTGGATACCATTGTCCTGCATCTCGATCTGGAAGTCCCCCGAGGTAGGGGCCAAGTCGCTTCGATCAAGGTCAACGTTTCCGTCGAGGTGTCGCACAGTGAATAAGATAAACTCAGGCTAGTTCCAGAAGACAAGGTAAGGTAAGTCAAGAATGCTGGCATTCAATATATCTAAGATGCGTGGTTGACCACGCACAGTAAGTTTCATACTCTACTTTCATATATCGTGTCTTGTGCGCCCCGTATCTAAATAAGCAATTCGAATGAACAATCGTTTTTTGTGTGTAGCGTTTCAGGACTCTCTGTTCTTCATCTGTCTCTTTCCATCTTCAATGCCAATGTGGGTCCCTTGACGAACTGCCCTGACCCGTCGTTCGTCATCGTTCCGGGATCTATACCGGCCCGGAAGCTCACACACTCCGGACGAACAGGTCCGCTCTCATGAGGCCTACGAAGGACCAAAAAGCTTCCATCCAAATTCTACTGGTCTGGTAGTGTAGTCGGTTTATCACGTCAGCCTAACATGAATCAATTTGGTTCACTCGGGTTTCGCTGAAGGTCCCCGGTTCAAGCCCGGGCTAGATCAAATCTTTTTTTTGTTCTTCTTTTTTTGTTCCTTGGCGGTGCTGGCAGCTGCTGTATCATTGTGTATATGTCTTTTCCTGCCTCGTGAATCATTTCTGCACAGGAAGGCAACCCTAAGTTTACGTTCTACGTGCAATGCGTCCGTATCTGCGCTTGAACCTCTCTAGAGCTTTGCCCTTGCATCAGGATAGTTACACCTAACATAGTACTTGGCATTATTTCTCAGGGTCCTCGGGGTCGTGGGATGGACAGGCCCTGTCGCTCGCCGATGCCGACGCCGCACGCACCTCCCCATCTCCAAGACCCTGGCGGTCCCCTATAGCACAAGGCACCTTTCACTAAATGAGAGTTACGCAACAGCTATAGCTGCAAGCCTGGCGCCTCGGGCTGCAGAGAAACATTCTAGTTTACATCTGGGCATGCACACTACATGCAGCTCGCATGCCTTTCCTACTTACACCATCTAAGACATACATACTGTACCTATTCAGAACCAAACCCCCCATGAACGAGCGGAGAGAAAACTCCTCGCAGTCCCTGGAATCTCTCACGTAACAATTACGGCGTCCTGTGCACGCGTGGGAGCGACAATGGCCAGGAAACGCCCGCCGCCGTGGTGTCATAGTATCACACGAGACGAGCAAAATAGCAAAAATTAGAAACCCGCGTGAGGCGATTTACGTGAAAGATGAATGAGAAATGGCTCATGGCCACCCGTGAATAGGCGAGATCTAAGTAGGGGCGGCGGTTTTTTGATCGCTGTATAAAGGCCCTGCTCTGCTGTGGCGCCAGTGCTTCGCTGGCAGTAAACAGGTTTGAGGTGCCAGCAGCAGCAGCAGCAGCAACCCTTCATCTCCTCAACAATGAAGATATCACCGAGACCTCCGGGGCGGCGTAGGGTTGATCACTGCAACACAGTCCCTCGCCCATGCATCCGCTGAGCCATTTTGCGAGGGTTTCTGGCAGCAACCATTGGCTCCTCACCTGCCTTTCGGACATGATTCTTCACTTGGAGCCCGTTAACTCCCTCTATGTCCCCGTGGGCTGCCTCAGCGGACTGATATCAGAGTGACTGATCTCAAACCCGCCAGACCGTACATATACCAGCAGCAGTGCCCCTCCACTGGCATGTCGACATCCTCACCTCACCTTTCCTCAGGACCCCGTCCCGGATTGGGCTAGGGGACATCAACACCAACCAACGCTCAAAAAAAGTCCCAGGCTAATGGAAACTCTCATCCCACGCCCGTTTAAAGTGTGCATGGATGAGCGGATGGATTAGATGGGACAGATGGGACAGAGTTGAATGGCGTGCGACGCCGGTCGCGGGAGCAGAAACAGGTGCACGACTCGTGGCAGCGCGGCGGACCAGCCCTCAATCGGGTAACGGCGCAAACAGAAAAAAAAAGCCTTGTGGCCCTTCATCTCGTCATGTTCCTGAACCGCCGTTGCCGTTGCCAACCCCCGGAACACCTGGAGAATCCCAAGGCGCTATGGAGACAGGACCTGCTGCACCTGACTGACCGACCCTGATGGGAGGCGGGCCCCCCATCCCATTCGTACCGGTACTGTGCCACTCTAAATTGCCCAGGAGGGAGAGGGGAGGACGCTTGCGACCGATTCACCGACCGACCGAACCACGACCGACCGTACCGCAAGTCAGTCTCTGCCTGGGCGCGGGCGGAGTCTTGTGTCGCTCTCTTCACCATCGATCGTTAAGTGCCATATTAGCGGGGAACCACCAGCTCGGGCCGGTTAGGGCGAAAAAAAATTTGAACGCTCGCTGCACCATCGATAGGAGAGAGGCGCGCCCGCCCACCCCTTGGCGGCGCTGGACGAGGGAACTTACCGCAGCTTCTCCGGGCAAGAAGTCCCAACTGCAGGAGCCGCGGCCGATCGCGCTCACTGGATAACTCGGCATTGCACCGGGATATGGGATGGCACCCAAGGATGGGCATGGGATGGGATATGGAACGCCCCCCTTCATTCTCGACAATCGGACAACGTGCACAACACGCATTTGCGGCCCCATATTATTATCTCTCTCTCGATCGAGTTATGCAGGGGTCCTCACGAGCTTGTTTGTGTCTCCACGTCGTATCAGTACACCAACGTCATGGGTAATTTCCACACGTTGTGTGGTAATCTGGTATTGGTCTTTGGTCGTTGTTTTGTACAGCTTTTAGGTATGTACAGTTTGTCCTAATCCTCTCCTTTTTACGCCTGTTGTGTATGCAGCCCCCTGTCCCATGGTTGATGCCCCGTTGCTCCTCTAAGATACATGCACAAGTCCGGTAAATGCAATGCGTGGAAGAGGCAGATCGCCTCGTTTCCTTTTTTGGCAATGGACAGCATAGGCCTGGGGGTAGGCGTGGATGGTTGGAAGGCGGAAGCTTGCGGTTGGAAGTTTTTAACGGCGAGCAGCGCGAAGGGAACTTCCAAAGAGAGCATGTATTCAAGTTTAGAATGGTCATGCTGCAGCTTCAAATTCAGTTTCAAAGTTGAAAAAGAATGCTCTTCCAAAGAAAACACCCTCGTCCGGCCCCGTACCCCTGAACTTCGTTGCTATCACGCTTGACCTCATCGCCCCTTTTGTTTTCCAGATGCGCCTGGCCCGGCAAAATGTGGAAACCCAATCAAAAACTCCAAATGAGATATAAACAAAATTGGGAACGACAGAATGATGCTGAACATCTGGGAGGCGAGAGAGCCAGCCAGCCATATGTGCAGTGCATTTTCATGCAGACAATGCTCATGTCATATTTTCATATCCAAAATCCGAAACCCCCAAAAAAACCCCAAATCGCCACACCGATGAATCCGTCCGTCATGTGTCAGAAGCGAAGAAAATTGTGAGAATATGAACAGGCTATGTACGAGAAGGCATTGTCAGCCCCAGGATCCACCAAATTCCATTGACTAGAATCAGGATGGTCGAAAGTGATGTGCATTTACTGAGTATCCCAGAACGACGGGGCATTCGGATCGGGCGACTCAGTCATGATCGGCAGGGTGTGGGAGGAATAATCCGCCATCCAGAAAGCTGGATCGTCCTCGACCAGTGAGAAATTATTCATGCTGGTGACAGCCGTCGTGGGAACCAGAGACGATTCCTCGCCTGGAAGTGACGCAGGAGAAGGAAGAAATTTGTTCCCAGCCTTCATGAACTTAAAATCTTCATAGTCGATGGTGGTCAAATCTGTGCTGCCAAGCAGGTTTGCCTGCGTGGGGCCCAAATTGAAGCCAGTGCTGGTAGTACTGGTGCGGCTGAAAGTGCCCATGATGTCGAAATCGTCACCGGTGCTGGGAATGAAGTCTTCCACTTCGGAGACTTCGCCGGATGTTGACGTGGTCAGCGTTGGAGGTTGCTCGAACCCGCCAAAGCTTTGCGGTTGGCTGAAGCTGGACGGGGCAAAATTCTCGTTGGCCTTGGACGCGAATTCGAGTCCATCGTAGTGGCTCCAATCGACCGACGCGCTGAGGCCTGCGCTGAAGAGGGCGGGTTCGTGATCTGACACGCTGCCGAAGATATTGTCGAGGTTATCTGTGATGTACGGAGTATAGCCGATATTTGACAAGTCGAGCGGAGGCAGAGAGCTGTTCAACTGCATGAAGCTTGATGAGCCCGTCATCAAGGGCGAAGTCGCCTCGGACTTGGCCTTTCGCTGTTCCTGCAACAAGCCACCACTGCTGGCTGAAGAGCCCCGGCTGAGATTGTCCAAGGAGCGATTGCTGCTCGAGCTGTGTAGTGAGTTAACCCGGTGAAGCTGGTAGGGGCCTGCCTTCTGAGACGCCTTGGTGTGCTTGTATGTGGGCTTGTGGTGACCATTCTCATCAAATGTCAACATGCCATCCGAGTGGATGGTGTTTGCACGGCGTCTACGAGGTCCTCCTTTGGAGGAGACCTTGGAATTTGAGAGCGAGCTCCCGTCTTGGTCCTGGTCCTGGTCTGAGTCGGATTCGGGGACCGGCTCGAGATGCGACGTCTCCTTCTTATGGGTACATGTACAGCGGCCGCCGTGATTGCAGCAGCAGCTATCTACAGCAGAGACATGCCCAGTCAGCCTGGCCCCGAAATGAACCAATTCGCGAGGACAAAACTTACCCCTGTGACCCTCGAGCGTCGTCTTAAGATGGACGCATTTGTGAGTGGTCTTCTCTCCACAGTCGCATTTGACATGAGACGTGCGCGACTTGCGCATCGCACGACAGTGCTGGCATTGCGAAACGGGCCGGCCCTTCTTATTGATGTGCTGAAGAGGGCGATCTGCATGAAGACGTTTTGGTCAGCCACCAAGGCACTACATGGATTTGAGATATGGCTGGGGTCCTGCGGCTGTATACTGCTCGGCGTCGTTGCGGTGCCCTGCGGGCCGAATACTCGAGTTGAACGCCGGGACTGGCGGCAAATATCACTCACCTGCATGTTGGCAGTTGCTGACTCTGTGGCCGCGCACACAGGCTTCACAGGCCCACTTCTCACCGTCGATCAACATGGTGAGATTTGGTGAGAGGGTGAACTGTGAAATGGAAGAAAAGAAGAAGAGGTGTCGTCGAGTAATGAGGTTTTTGGGTAGCTCGTTACAGATGTGTTGGAGCTGCCGCGAGACGGAGGGTTTGGGGTGGGTCTTGGCACACGAGGCTCGCTAGCGAACAGAGGTGTGGAGGCCCGGGATGAGTGCAGGTTCGGAAGGTGTTCCTGTACGTACAGTACCTCGGGTAGGTACCGTGGAACGTGGTGGGAATGGATGTCGCCGCCGCTTGATGTAATGCACCGTAAAACGCGGAATAAAAAACAAGAAACAGAAAATCCAATGTCGCAAAATAGATAGTGTTTATAGAGACATTTCCTGGGGTATCGTATCGTATCGTGATGTGCGTGAAACTTTTCTTTTCCCGAATGCTGTGCCGAAAGACTCCAATTGACTGATGCCGACGCCGGAAAGACTGGATGAACCAAGAATAGGCAGTTGAGTTGAGTGGAGATTGTTGTAGACAGGTAATGTTCGCCGAAGCTCGAACTTTGCAGCTGGTGATGGCTTCTTGGAGTTGTTGTAACGGCTGTGGTTGGTGCGCTACCAGGTGAACCTTAGTTCAGGACGAAGCGTGGTTGTTGCGGGATTGGGGGTGGTCGTTTCCCGTGTAAGTGAAGTAAAGTGTTGGAGGAAGGTGCGGTTTACTTCAGGTGTTCCAAGAAGCTCGTTGTTGATGGTGCTGGGCTGCACTTTCCGCAAATACAAACTGATTGTATTGTATCGGTCAGGTAAGGCGAGGGCAGGTACGATCCAATGCGATCAGATATGTACGTAATGCGATGCAGCGCGATGCGGTGCGATGCAGTAAACCTGGACCTGAACTGCTGGTGGTGGTGGTGGTAATGTTCGCCTTGCGCGCGAGTGGGAGAGCTGGTGCTGGCTGAGGGGAGAATGGCCGCTCAGCTGCTGCTGGTAACGTTGTGGTGTAAGTAGCTAGGCGGGTTTTAACCGAAGCTGCTGGCGCGCTGGAAGCTTGCTACTGCGACTTGCAGGCTGCCTGGTAGGTAGGTGAGTGAGAGAAGACGCAGACGAGGAAGTCTTTCTTTAATCGCGTTGTCGACCGAGACAGATGTTGTGAAGAGTCGAGGATTCGAAACTGCTCTTCTGACGTGTGTCAAGCAAAGGCAATCATATCTGGGAAAGACTGCAGGTGCAAGAGGGAGAGCAGGAGGAGGAGGGCTGGAGAGATCGGAGGGTGACGGCGAGGGAGGATGTGGGTTCTTTAATGTCAGTTGCGGAGCAGAGGAGAAGGAGGAGGAGGAGCAGCAAGAAGAGGTGGTGGTGGTGGTGGTGGGTGTTGGAATTGAATCAAGTGAGAAGGCGTTTCTTTGCAGCAACACCAGCAGCAAGTCAAATCCAGTCTAACTCAGGGTAGGGCAGGGCAGAGGGCAGAAGAGAGGTTCGATGGGGGCACCACTGGGGACCGGGGACTCTTGGTGGGAGGAGTAGGAGAGTACCGCAGAAACTGTCGTCGTACCCGTTACTTCGATCTCCTCGTCTGCCTCACGACCAGCCCGAGCTACGAAGGCTGGAATAGGTGCGGTACAAGGCGGATACCATCGAGATGGAGAAGCAATACGCGCCCAGAGAGGTACTGGCCTTGCAACTCGCAACCTGCTCCGAACGGTCGCTCGGTCGCTAGGTCGCTCGACAAAATGACGGAACGTTCGCAAGTGGCCCTGAACTACTTGACAGCCCTGACCAACCGCAGCGTAGCGTGTGTTTTAGGGACTCTAGGCGAAAGACGGGGCGGGATTGATCGATGGCGCTTTTTCTTCGTGGGCATGCTGCAGTCTCGCAGTGCAGGCGCTGCAGAATTTGGAGTTGGAGATGGAGGGGAGGGGTCTCTGTCTCTCTTACGGTAGTCTTGGTCTTGGTCTGTGGAAGAGTACGGAGCCAGCTAACTGACTTGACCAGGGCCAGGGTTGCAGAGACTGGAGGTCCAAAAGTGGGTGGACGCCGCACTGCAACTTCTTCGAAAAAAAGCCCACCTTTTCGAGTCCATCTCCAACACAGCTAACCTACCTGGGACACCTGGGATACCTGGGCTCGAGCTGGGATACCTCGTTAGACTTGGGCCAAGTGAGTGCCACTGCCACTGCCACCCTCGGCCGGTCCTCGTCCTAAGTCTAACTCAGTCATGCCATCCTGGTCCCCGAGTCCATCTACCTCGACACGCCTGATCGACTCTCTTTCCATCACCCATCACGATGGTGGTGTCTCTGCACTAGATCCCAGCAGCGTGGGTGGGGTGTCACCTTCGCTCGTTGGGGGTGTCACACCCCTTTCAACAGAAGACGTGAATATGGCAGACATTTCTGGGTAAAAGTACCCCTACCGCCATAGAGATTCGAAGACATTGGAACGACTGATGCATCTTAGGACGTAGGCAAGTCGGCCGTCGGCCATGTCTCCATCTCCTCCCATCTAGCCCGACTCACAGTTGATGGAATGCCCGCCGGCGGCTCGCAAGCCCACCGGCAGACGTACTCGGGACATGTACCTCCCATCGTTAGCCTCCTGGAATGCCCCTGTACCGGTGTAATGCAGTACGTGATTACCTTACCACATACACTGCACAGACCAAGTGATCCATCAGAGGAGGAGACCCCTTCTGTTCATTACCTTGGCCAAGCCTGAACCCCGGCCGCCCATGGCTACGACGACAATGAACGATGATGACAGTGGCCAGCTTGGGTCTTTGCCCTTGTTACCGATTACATGACAGCACGCCAAAGAGGATCATGACCACAGTTTTACTACGCAGTGCTACATTCTTGTATTGCTCGGGTCGGCATGAACGTCAAGTGTCGACTGCCGTGCTTGCTTGGCCACATTGAGCACGCCCAGCGCTGTTTAGCCATTGAGACTGATACTGCGGACAGTTTGCGAGCAGGCAAAGCGAGGCAGCTGGGTCATGTCCCGTAAGCCACTTACAGTGCTGCCTTCTCTGCTGGGTACTCAATCCTAAACGGCATCGAGCTATCTGGGTTACTTCTACCTGGTGTACCCGTAACCAACATGCTTTTACAGCGGCAGGGAATGATAGTGCGCGCCCGCGGCGCTTCGCGAGGTTAATGGATAAACCCATGGGTTCGCCAGATGGAGAAAAAAAATCAGGAACAGTGTATAGCGCCAACCTTCTCCATGTACTGTACGTGCGATGCGTTGGGATGCAGGAGGGGGTTGACGAGGTGAGGTGAGGTACGCGCTATAGCGTAGTTTGGTGCGGAAAGGATGCGCCCTGTCTCTAAGGTGGAAATGCACAAGCTTGCTGGTGCATCAGTGCAATCGGTTCCCACTCCATCCCACCCATCCTCCAAGTGGAAGGGTCCAGCAGCAGCCACCGAGATGGTGACTTGCTGAGGCGTCAAGGTGGCCTTGGGCCCTTAGGCCTTGGTGGTTACGAGGCGCCCGCTATGCGTGTCTGACAAGCAGAGCTTTTCCAGCCCTCCTCCGCCTACCCCGAGCAGTCCACTCGACCGCGTCTATTTTGATATCTTTTTGCAGGAAATGAGACGCAAAACTTTTCCAGCGCCCTGTAGGCGATGTGATGAGCTACCACCTGCGCATATCTTGTCGAATAAGCTCTAGTGATGTGCATTTTCTCATGTACGATGATCGGGGCCCAGCCTCAGACCTCAGCCGGACACGGCAGCCCCCCTACCCTGAAAATTTCTCCGTCTCGCAGGTCTTCTAGCACCTGTGGGGAAAGGCATCTGGCGCATCAATGGTATCATCACCACCACTGACTATTCGTGAGAACCGACTTGCACCTCCAGGCGAGGACGCACGCCGACATAGGAGCCGTCTGCAGACCATGCCTTGCCCCATGAGCACAGCGTGACCGATCTGCATGCATTTTGACTTCATTTTGCTTTTTGAAGCTGGACAAGTCGCGGCTGTGGCATTCTGGCTCCGCGCCTCTTGCCGCCGTTGACACTGGCTGGGTGTCAAAACGTGCCTGTGATGCAATCGGCGATGCCAGCATTCATGCTACACATCCCACTTTGTGTTCCCCTACTTACCAACGTCGACCCTACTTACCCCTGGATATACAGTCATCCAACACAAGATCAACCCGAATGTGCCAACTCATCTGTTGCTGTCTAGGCACCTTCCTAGCAGTTGCCAAGGTATCATTCATCCCCGAAATCCGGCACAGTCAATGAAGATGTGCATCCCGCATTTGCTTTAGCCTCTCGAGACTTTTACAGGAGAGCTAGGCTATGACGGAAACTGTGGGATGACGACCCGCGAATAGATTGCTGATGTGCATTCTTGGCCCTCATTCTACCGTTTAGGATTTAGCA